TACTGTAAATTCTAACCTATGTTTAATTGTGGCAGACAAAAAAGATCTAAAGAGGAAACTGTACCCATGTTATTTCTTTCTTCTGAAAGAATCTTCACTTATTGCTTTACCAATACCTCATGTTCTTCTCTGTTACAGCAGGTGAAAACTGTAGCAATTTCAGTGCTCCTAGCTCTCAGTCTAGAAAACAAATAATTTTAAAAATAGTCTCCTGAATATTTATTATATGCCATAAATATACAGAAAGGAGACAAGCCTGTTTCTTCCTCCCTCTTCCTCGCCTTTAGGATACTGTTCCTCTTTAAGAAGCTGCTAGAGACAGCTGTCTAGAGGCAATCTGGTTTTTATTATAAACATGGTGCCTCTCTCCCCTCCCACACCCAACAGGAAAAGCATGTCTTGGGTCTTCCAGTAAGATAATTTAAAAGATTCTAGCTAAGTGATAAAGCTGGTAGTTTTGTGCTGCCTACACTGGGGGCCTTTGATAAGAGCCACACCTGCTTGGCACCATTGCCGTCAGCTGCACAAAACGGGAACCCTAAAATACCTGGGCGTTTTCTGTGTTGAAACTAATCTGCTCTGGAAGAGGCCTCTGGCTTGGGAAGGCTGGGGGAGGAATATTCCTGCTGCTCACTTAATGCATCTAGCTGAGGTCAAACTGTGAGGACAGAAGTTAGGGCTCGAGGCTCCACCTGTAGTCAATGAAGAGGTATTTTAGGGGCAGCTAATTCAGGGCATTTAAAACAACAGTGAATAATTTGCTGTTGGAGTTTCCATTCACAGTTAGCAGCAATGGACTGAGGTTAAAAGTAGCAAGGGTGATGGAGGGGTTAGACAGACCAAGAAAAACTTCATACTAATATAGTTTCAACATGGCAGCATCTGTTACAGTTTTATGGTACAATTTTATGTAATTTCTTTGGATACAAAGGCAGCTAAAAAAGTTTCCTCTGCTGCCTGCTGGTATCCAGCTCTTACAGAGAGGGCTTTTTCCTGTCTCCCGTAGGTCTCCATCCATGTTTTGTAAGAGCTTGTGGGACCCTGCAGCAAATTGGATTACTTAAATGACTGGGGTTTTGTTGGGAGGTGCTTTTTTTGTTTAGAAACAACAAGGGTTGTGGAGTGTTTGTTTGTGTTTGCCCTGAACATCTCAAGGATCTGGTTTGGGCTAAACCCACAAACCATGGCACAGCTGGGCAGGAAGAGGAGCAGACGGCAGCACTGGATTCTATCTGCTTGTGCCTGAAACCCTCTCCAGCTCTGCCGTTAAAGAAAATGCAGAGAGATTTCACAAACACGACGAACTGCCCTGATAAATAATGACCTGGTTTTGCATAGCCGGCTTTCTGGAGTATTGAATAAACCATGGCTGGCAGTAAGTCAAACATATCTGTTTTGGACTTATAAAGAAAATGACAGTTTCAGCTTTTAAATCCCTGAATTTGCCATGTTGTTTGAAGTACTGTATTAAAAGATGGGTTTGGATATGAACTTTTTTCTTTAAAAAAAAAATACATGTAACTGCCTGTTGTATGTAGTCTTGTCTCTCCTTAGAGCTATATCCAAACAATGTGATAGGGAAAGGTGTAGGAAAAAAAGTACTTCATTTAAAATGCTTAATATCCCTTGCCCTCTGTGTAGGGTTAGGTATCTCTTTTACTCAGTACTTATTCCTGTACTGATCTGAACATTCCTGACTTTCATCAATAACCTTTTCTGATTAGCATGACCTGGATGAAGCTGCATAATTCTCTCCTTTGTTCTAGCAAAGTTAAAAGACCAGAGGAGGAGAACAAAACTTTTACAGACCCAGCCTTCATCCATCTCATTCTGAAGCATGGGGAGGACTTCAGATCCCCTTGTGATCTCCTCAGCCACTGAGCCCAGGCTTGCTAGGAGAATTTAGTTTTACTGCAGCAATTCCTGAATTAGTTTTATCACTTCAATAGTAAAGCTTTTCTTTTTGCACTTCATTATTCTTGAATCTTATGTCTGTTTCTTACTCGAGGTGCTGTTTTCTTTTTCCTCTTTCCTCCTGCAGTCAGATGTACACTGCAAATGGCACAGACAGTGCCTCCTATTGTGGCTCAGGTTCAAGACTTCACATATGTAAAATGTGACTTGCAGCACTTTCTTTGAAGCCTAACCACAGCCAGGGAGCTGTAATTGCAGTCTTTGATTTGTGCCGACTTCGCTTGTGGATTGGGCTTTGCTAGGGCATGCCTCGCCTGGCGAGACTTCAGCTGCAGCCCCCCAGTGAAGCCTTAGATGTGGGAAGTCTTCAGTCTCCTTAGCACATGCCTGTGGTTTCTTGAAAAGAATCCTGATTTGACCTGTTTTTTATCTGTAAGGCAACACCATCATCACTCATATTTTTTAGGTATTATTTGGTTTATCAGCAGTAGAAGCAATTTCCAGCGTGTAGCCTTAATGTGCAGCCAGGGAAAGGCTGGGTTCTAGATGCTGTTTTCAGGATAGCTACTCTGTAATTTGCTGTACTGCTTGGAAATAAAAATACGTGGGGCTTCCCTGTGCCTGTCCCCTTCCAGAATCACTGTGGTGTCTGCAGCCTCTCTGGAGGAGCTGGGCATAGTTAGGAGCTATGGAAAGGAGGCAGGCGCTGCAGTGCTGCCTCTGGATTGAGAAAGAAGCAATGGCTGCTGTTGGAAAAAGCTGAGGGCCAGAGCAAGGCCACGGTCGTTATTTTAACCTCCTGACTTCAAAGACAGCTTGCTGGTAAGGGAAGGGGGGAGGAGGCAGGGAACCATCTCAACAGAAGAGCATTTCATTTCCTTCAGTGAAGTAGACATTCCTGGCTGCTAATGGGGAGTAGCTCTGAATCACAGCGCTTGTATCAGACTGCTGTGAACTACTGGCCTGGCGCCTCAAGGCCATTCCTCAACAGGAAGCTGAATGTTTTCATGTAAGACTGAGAGGAAAACCTTCCCAGGAAGAGCAACCTGGACCAAACCTTTGAAAATCTGGGATGAAAAGGCACAAAATAAATATAAAGCTGCAGGGTGCTCTCCCCAGTGTTGCTCTGCTGTTTGCTTGGCCTCTCTTTCGTGCTCCTTGGAAAGGTAGAGCCCTTCGTAGCTCTTTGATCCGCACGTGTTACGGAGCACTGTGCTACTTTATAAAAAAAATAAAAAAAAGGCAGGAAGCTCAGGAGGCTTTTTTTAGTTGGGACATGGGCTGGTTTTATGAGGAAATAGGAATTGAATTAGTCAATACAGACCACCTCTGTTGAAACTGATGGTTTGCCAGTGGACTTTTAGCTGTTTAAGAGGCCTCAGTGGCTTTAAATGTCCTTTTGTGGCTACCAGCAGCAGGTGTGAGCTATTCCTTACGTATCAGGGATGGCACTATGTAGGCAACAAGGGAGTCTGCATTAAATCTAAGCTATACAAAGCAGTTTGTTATCAATACATGCTGGTCTTTTCTACCTTAGTCTGCAGCTAAAATTAAGTGTCCTCAACTTTCCTTTCTGCTGTAACAATAGCCATATGGGTGACCTGATAAGGAGTCAACTTGTTTAATAAGATTTTGGGACCTCAGCTTATGCTGATTGAATTCAAAGGGTACAAAATCAGTTTTAGAGGCTTTCTAGCCTGGACTACATGAGGCAGTGTAGCTCCTTACTCAGGAGCTGCCACGCTCCTCAGCCACTATGAGTGAAACACTTTGTGTGGCAATGGTTTACACAGAAGCTGCAGCAGATGGGAGGTGGGTGCTTAGTTATAAATGGCCCTGGTTAAATACTGCTGAAATGTAATGTAATGTAAATTTTGCTGATTAACTCAGCTTGTAACTCTTGCAGGCTTAAGCAGTCTATCTATCATGATTAGTCTAAAAGAAGTTCAACTTGTGGTTTAAACCATTTCTTCATAAACTTGTTCTGTCTTGCCTTGTGTGACTCAAGGTGCTGGCAGTGTATCTTTATGTGACTAAGCATTTTGTCTTTCTTCTGGTGAAAATTTGTTTACCTTCTCCACTGAACTGCATTCTTGTGCTAATTTTGATCACTCTCAAAAGCTTTGCTCACCAAACCTTCTATTTGTTAGGCAATTGAGTAGTACATGGAGACCTAGAGGTTAATGTTGATTTTTCTGAAATACCAATAATCCCCAAACAGTTACTGGAGAGCATGTGTCCATGTGTGGAATCATGTCTGACTTGTTAGAAAGATTTTGAGTGGAGACCCTGTTATAACTCACTTGTCTGGATCAGAATGGTGAGGGTGACGGTTGAGTTGGCAATTTCATAAATCAGCTGATGTAACCCAGAGACCTAGACTGTGCTCCTCTGGATCAGCAATTCCTGTTAGGCCTGTACTGTGGGCCGTTTCACATGCTCTAAGAATATAAATCCTTCCAAGATCTAGTGAACTTTACTGCTAGGGAGGAGGCCCATGGGTCTTACACAGCTGGAAGATGTTCCCTACTCCACTGAAGAGCAGAATAAATCCTCCCCAGTCCTGAGGATGGATGGCAGAATCAGTGTTCACACAAGCCTCATCCACCACATTCCTCTACCAAACTGCTTGCAGAAGACAGCATTTTTTCATGTCTGCAGGGAGTAGAGCCTGAGGCTCTGAAATAGAGGTTTAATTGACCTCAACCACTGCACTGCAGTACTAAAGCCTGAGGATGTCTCATTTTGTAATGGTATCTGGGTCAAATGTTGTAGATAAATGAAATCCACTACTAAAGGGAAGAAATTCTGTAATATGCTGGATGTTTAAAACCTCACCTTTCTAGTTGGTATCTCTTTACAATGCAAAGTACTTTCCATAAATATAGTTGCAAACTTCAAGCAAAAGCAAGTAGTAATAAATTCTGCATTTAACTTTGACATTGTAATGCACATTCCACTAATAGAGCTGTAAGAGTTACAGTGACCCATCACCAGCTTGTTTGAAGAATTTATTTTTTTTTAAAGGCTCCAGATAGTCTTTATCACACACTCTCTCTCTCTCTCTTTCCTCCCCTTCGCTGTAGGTGGGAAAAGAAATGCTTTCTCAACTTGCAAAGCAAAGGCGGCGACACCAGGACCCCTTCTGGAGATGGAAGCTTGTTAAACCCTAGGTGTGTCCTTCATCCACACAGACCACCCCAAGGAGTCTGTCTAGGATGTCATCCACCCTGATGTCACTGCTAGAGACACTGAATCATAAAGACAATCACTGCCAAAATCCTTCACTATCACGAGGTCCAGCCCTGATATAAATAGAGCAAATGAGCTCCTGGGTCAGCAGAGCAGCTTTTGTCTTCACCTCTGCCTTGCACTCTTAAGCACCCATCTCATCTGTGTCCATATTGAGTCAGCAAACACAGTAGCATGGCTGTCTGTGCCTGCTTCAGCCAGCAGAATTCCATAGACCACAGCTGCCCCACACAGCACATCAAGGGATGGAATTTGCCTGGACCAGGATGACGCGCTCAACCTTTTTATTTAATGGTGCGACAGGATCAATTTTGGTTTTAGCTTTTTTTAAGAAACTTGAATGCTTTTATATTTTAACTTTTAGTTTGTAATTTCTTTGGTGTATATTTTACTAGGTATGAGCTTAAACAAGTGTCAAAAATCTGAAATACTTTTTAAATAAAAGGAGTTTTTCTTTTTTTTTTTTTTTTCTTCCAGAGGAAAAATCTGTATGGAAAAAAGGTGGCTGTTTTGTTAAACTATTTGTAACAAATAGTGGCCTCTCAGTCTATATAATACAGTGTCCTATAGAACTAAATAAATGTAACAACAGTCAGCTGGTCAGTAGACATGTTAGTCTTGCATCATCTACTCTGTAAACATAAGCAATACATTCAGCAAATCTGACTGCAGTGAGTTCTCCTTCTCACCCATTCCCCTTCTCCTTGTAAAAAGCCCAGCACTTGAATTATTACTTCAATTGTTCTGTATTTGTATCTGTTTTTGTTAGCCTGTTAGTGGGATTTTATGCCAGTTGTTGAAATGAGCATTGATGTACCCATTTTTTAAAATAGTAAGGCACAGCCTTTGCCAAAAATACTGTCAACCAATTTTTTTTTGTCATTCCAGTTTGAGTTAATGTGCTGAGCATTTGTTTTTTAATAAAAGCTTTGTAATAAAATGGAATTTAACTGTCTTTAAAATTGGATTTAAAAAAACAACCAAAAATGGGTTTTGGTAGAAGCAAGCTCAGGAAGGCACAGTCACTTGTAAGGCTGAAGACTTTTGGCTCAGTCTTCTGTATTAGGAAATACAGTGTGTCTGGCTGTTTGCTCACCTGAAGTGATTTTGGAGAGTGACTTTTTCTTTGAAAAGTGAGGAGAAGTCTCAGATCCATAGCAAGAATAAGGAATGGGGATGGTCCCTTTTGCTGCTCAGTTAGCTTTGGCCTAAGTGGAAGTATTAAGGATCCCTCCATCATCATTTTCCTGGCAAAATCATAGGGAAGGGCAGTGGTTTTAAGCTGATGATTACAAATAAGGATTTGCTTCTTTCTGGATGTGCTCCATGCCCACACAAGAGGTAGAGGCCTGCAGTTAAATTTGTTGTAGCTGTATAAATAACTCCTCAGTCAGGGACTGAAGCTGGCTGCAAAATCAGCTGTTCAAGGCCTGGTTTCATGGTCTGAGATCCAGAGTCAGCATGGCCTGCCTACTGCCAGTGATGCCTGGGAGATGTTCCTGCCATAGCAAGCAGCACAGCTGCCTCACCTCTACTAAGGGATGTAAAAAAACCAGACACTGCAGCCACAGGTGGAACTACTCCACCTGTTTTTGAGTGGAAAAGAAATATTATGAACTGTACGTTGAATCAGCATTCTTTATATTCCAGTTCCCAAATCTTGTTTGGCATGAGACTGGACTGAGTCAAGCTTAAGCTACAAGAAATGACATAGGTCAGTTACTGCCTAAGGAAGCTTTGGAACTGAATTGTTTATAAATGACCCTTTAACTCAGTTGCATAAGAAATTTCATAATTAAAAATGTTATAAAACAACTTCCTCTTCAACCAGTGTGCACTGCACACATGCCCAGTTTTAAGGCTGTAACTAGCATATTAGTTCTTGCAATATTTATTTCTAGCAACTGGTGATTATGTTAAAAAAAAAGAAAAACAAGTGACCAGGCTCTCAGAAGGCAGGAGAAAATATCTCATGAGAGAATAGCAACTGTATACTGGAGTTTTGCAAGACTTGGCTATGTTTCCATTCAATTATCCCAGCCTTTGCTGGAAACCTGTCTGGCTTTTGGTTTGGGGTTTGGTTTTGTTTTTTAAAGGGGAAAAAGGCAAGTACTTAGTGCTGTAATTGTTCTAAATCAAAGATTACTGCAGTGAGATCTGCAAATTACATGTTCCAAAGACAACAGTTCTCTTTAGAACTTTATAAAACATGACTACTGTTTAGATTCTGTAATGGCTATTTAAAGAGCCATTTATCCATTCTGAAAAAAACTGTTCCAAATGGAAGTGTCAGCTTCATGTAGCACATTGTCCCCAGTACACTGTTGTGAACAGTTGCCTGCCTTAAGGACGAAAGGTCTTTCAGCTCTAATAGTGAAGAAAAAGAATTTGGGAGCTAAAAATAATGCCTCTGCTGTTAACATACAGTGAACAAGCACCATGTGTTGGGCTCATTCATAGACCAAAGACCTTTCACACACAGCAGCTATGGGAAATGTTAACTTATATGCAAGGCTTAGGGTGCTGCTGTGAGAGCCCCTGAAACAGAGTAACCCTGCTATCCTGGAATACCCCTGTGACTTGGGTCTGTGTCCACTCCTGTCCTCCCCTGCTAATTGGCATTTGTTCCTGTGGGACTGAGAGAGTCCTCACTGCACTGTGCCAGCTGTCAGTGGAGACAGATGAGCTAGTAAAGATGGCCAAGGATGGTGGTGCTACCCTGGCAGTAAGACTAGGTTTAAATCCTTGTGACATGGAACAAATTATTCCAGGTGAGAATCAAAATCAGCACCTAAATTCCTGATGTGCAATTTAGGCAGACATCAGAATCTAACCTTGTCTCTTTTGGGTGCCTGAGGAGATGATTATCATGTATTTCCCACAGAAAACATCTTCAAGGATTTAAATGTTCCTACCTAATGGCTGAGGTAATTATCTAGACACTTCTGTACAAGCACTCACAAACCACTCTCTGCCCCCACAGTTGGTTCTGTGCATGCACTAAAAGCAGTTCTTGCACGGATCACAGCATGGGTAGTCTAGTTCATAAACACAGAGCCTAGGAAATACACAGCCTTCCCCCTCCCCTCACCAAAACCAGCAGATACAGAAGAGGGGAGTTGAGCCAGGATTATTTACAGCTAACCAGGCCAACCTCACAGGATGGTCTGGCTCCTCAGGCTTCTGCATCTCCTGGACCAGAGCCATTTTCCCTGTGTTACATAAAAGAACAATGCTTCAGCTAACTTTGGCTTCTTATGCAGCAAGTGATGACAGATTCACTAGTTGTGCTTATAGGGACTCACCAGCTCTACTGAATTATCTTCTGTTGTAGTTTCCACTTTGGATTAGGCAACAGAAAAGGCAGTCACTTAGTTTGATGGCTGGGTCAATTTTGCCAAATGTAGGACCTTAAGGACCCAATGCTTGCTCCAGGCTCTAGGACAGCAGAATCCACAGCATTTGTCTGCACTCCTTTGAAACCACTGCAGTGCACAAGGCTTTGAAGCAACCATTCTGTTTCCTGGTGGCCTCCTGCTGTCATCTACGTGGCAGCTAATCAGGCTAAAGCAAGACTGGCAGAAAATGAAGGACTCTACTGAGACTTGAGAAATGCCCTGTAACCTCTCCCATAAGGCAGCTGCAGGTTTTTCCCTGCATTTGCAAGGGGATTAACATGCAAGGGAAGCCCCTCCTTCAGAACAAGGACCTAACACAAAGTAGAACAGTAGAGGGGAAATAAGTAAGTCCATAAATAGCCAGAAGTCTGTCAGCTATGAATACCTTTCTCCTAAGTCAGGTCAGTGAAAAACTACTGGGCTAAAAAGGAAGGCAGAAGGAGCAGCTGTAACAGGAAAATGGTTGGCTATAAACACATTCCAAGATGAAACCAAAAACCTAGAAAGAATGCCCAAACACATTCACTTCTCCATGACACATCAGGAAGAGAAACTCTGGATTAGTGTATGAATTTACCCTTTGAGTCTCCTCATAGATATGAAGCTCAGGTTTAGAAAGCCAAGCAAGCAAATGGGTATCTGCCCAGGAAAAGGAACATATGTGCCAGAAATAGGGGAAATGAACCTCTTAATCACCAGGTTTTGGCCAGGTCAAAATAAGGACTCCCCATCCTCCTACATAAACAGTCATGCCTTCAGGCCATGGATTTTAAATGATGGCTTCTCTTTGGACACTCCCCCTGCAACAACCATGACCTCCCTGAATCACAGATGTCTGCTTGGCTGAGATAACAGTCACTGCATACCTGCTCTGGGAACCTTAGAAAACCAAGGTTTTCTTCCTGTGAACACTGTTCTACAAACCACATTTTCATAAACTCACCCATCCCACCTTCCAGAAACCCAACAAATGCAAATAAGCAACAGGTTCATTAACCTGCCAGCTACGGAAAATCAGCATAAACCAACAGAGCTAGGAGAATTTCTGCTTCATACTAGAAGAGCAACTCACCCAAGAAGTGATCTGTTCACTGTGCTGAGAAAAGGTAACTGACATCATAAAATCTTCAGCAGAATAAGAAAAATAACATACTCCAAAACTTAATGATAGTCAGAAGAGTTATTTGGACAGGCCATTCTTTGAATTTGTATAAATTTCCTACAGCTAAGAAAAGTGGCTAAAAAAGTCCAACAGGATATCTATTTGGCTGAGTTAGGACATCTCTGTCTTTTGAGACAGAGAAAAAGGCACAGAAACAAGGACTCAGATCTTGACAAAGCAGAATTCTATACAAGGATTAGTTCTTCTGGGCACCTGCCTGTGAAAGCAAAGTGTTGGGTAACAAAAGAGGAAACAGCACACAGCACAACATGGCAGTGACTACATCCCTTGACTGAAAAAAGCCCAAGATGGACAAGATTCTCACATTTTAGTCATTGCTTTTGCTACCCTGAAATATGTTTCCTTTTTACTCTTCTCTGTGAAATGTTTAATTTTGTCATGATTAACATCAGCAGCAACAATTTCTTTCATTCTACAGTCTATTAATGCCAAATTAATAGGTTGTAATCATATTTGCAAAAAATCATGACTGAACAGCTACTGCTTTTTTCCTGTAAAGACCTGATAGGTTCAAACTGTACTCAACTTTTTATGATAATAACCTGAAAGAATTCACAATCAAAACATCCTCGTCTAATAACCCTCAACAAATTTAACCATGAATGGTTTTAGCCACTGTTTGAAAATTCAAATTTTATAAGGCAGATTTCACGTATGGTCAAATTTTCCCTTTGAGTGGGATTGGTATAACTGCATGACCCAGAAATCAAACCACTCACAGCACTGAGTTAATCACTGAGCAGTCTAATTCTGCCTATACTGGTACTAATATTTAATTGTTTAGTAAATGTGAATTTACTGAAATTACATACTGAAGCAAATTGCAAGGCATTTCTCAATATTCAAGTGGTTTATTCCCTTCTTCCTCTAGTCCATTTGATTTTACTTCTACTCTAGGTCTCTTCCCTTCTCCCTCTTCTCTCCAGTGTTTGACTGACTCCTCTGCTCTTGCCCTGCCCTCATTGGCAGGAGTTCCCTGCTGATGGAACAGCTCTGCTAACTGCTCTCGCCCACTCAGAAGCAGTCCCCCCTTTCCAATGACCTAATGCTGGATTTGATATGAACCTAAAAAAAATTGACTTAAATCTAGCACAGGTCTAACACTTACACTGTATTTTCATTCTGTCCAGTTTGGAAAAAAATACAATTTGAAGGAAGAAAGGGGAGAAAGACTATTTTCTAGGCAGGTAAAGGAAGAATTTCCCTGCATATGTGTTCCCCAAGCACATTTGAAGGATGGTAGGTACCTCCTTAGCTCCCAGGTATGTTGTCAGGATCAGATACAATTATATGTAACTCATGTAAACCACAGACAGAAGAATTAAGAGATATTTTAAATGAGATGCATATAGCTACACTGCAGGTACAGTTATCATAACAGCGACCACACAATTATATAAATATGGAATACACTGTATTTATCAACCAAAATTCAAAGAATTCTTCAGATCACCTTACTCCAGCAGTTGCCTCACTATCTTAACCCTTTGCCATTTTTGGGTGGGAGTTAGCTCAGAGGCAATGGCAAGGAAACCCAGACAAGAACAGGAAAAAACAGCACAGAGAAAGCTGATGGGCCAGGATTTAAGAGTTTCACCTGAACTACTTTCTATTGGGCACTACTGCTACTGTAGCATTTACACTGCCATGGCCCCAGGGAAGTGTGGAGACCCATGCTTCAGCTGAGGGTGTAACAAAATAGAAGCAGCATCTCACAGAAAAGATGAAATGGAAAAGTGCAAACACCACTTCCAACCACTGCCAACACATCACTCTGAACTGAACAATGAAGACTAGGTAGGACTTTCTCACCCGTCCCTTTACCAGATTTCATACAGTTTATTTTAGACATTGTGGCCAGTGCTTAATTAAATAAAGCAGAAGACAACTCCTAACCAGGATAGAAAAGTCTGCCACATTCTTCACAGCATACAGGAGTTGGGGTTGAAGGACGTCCTTGATAACTCCAATCTTGAAATCACTTCTAGTCAAGAGTATCTAAAATCCTCTAAACACATGCTGGATTTCCAGCTGCCAAATATCAAACTTTGTTACTTCTCTCTCCATTCCCCAGCAGATTCAGCAAGTTCTCCAAAGCCACTTCCTTGCCTGCAGAAGGCAGAGAATATGGCACTCATTTTAGATTGATTTCCCAATTTTAATATAAATCTGCTGCAAGTTGAGCTATATGCCTGTGGATTAGCACTACTCTCATAATATGTTGACACAAAATTCTGAGTCAAACTGATATCAGCAATAGCTAAGCCCAGTCTTATCTGTCACTGAAACAGTTCATTCCCTAAAAACACAATAAAAGCAATTTTTCAAAGTAATAGTTTTCACTAGCAACTTTCCTCCTTGTAATGTCAGAAATGTCCACCACTGTGGAAAAGCTCTGGTCTTTGCTAGAAAGCAATGAGTCTGTGGGTAAAGATAGTGCCAATTGTACAATCATTTGACATACTCATCACTGTTTGCCATTATTCTCCCCCTCCACCTCTACTTCAAATATCACATGTCAATAGGCTAAGCAATGATTTCAGCTGTAAACATGTGCAAATAGTATTTTGAATATGACTCTGTCTTTGAGGTAACTATATGTTCATCTTTTGATCTATGACAACCAAATGTCCTTACAAATTTAGATCCAAGTAACAATACTGGCTTCAGTTCATAGATTTGCTAGCTAAGCGTCAGCTTAGGCAACAATAGCTTTCAGTCTTTGCCAAAAATAAAAGTCCCTAAGAAAGAGAGAGACTTCTTCCTCAGTTTTAAGTAATGTTTTTATTTAAAGCAATTAAAAAATGGTATCAGGAAAACCATTTATGTGAAATTCATAGCATCTTCTCCCTGTCCCCCCATATTCTCTCCTATTAAAAGAAAAAAAATACCATTTTAAAACCCTCATATCTCTAGTACTAAATTAATTAAATTCTGCAAGTATCTCTTCTGTCTCTTACTTTAAAGTACGCTATTTAAATGGCCATTCTCAATCTCACACTTCACACACTGCCGTGTTCCTAAAAGCACCCTGACTGGTTTGAGAATCCACAGCCTCATTCAAATCAGCTCCCTCTCAATAAACTACTTCCCTGCACTCTATTTCACCCATGCTCCTCCTCAAAGGACTCACAGACATCTCTTTAGGCACTTAAAACATTATTGGGGTGTCCCCTGCTCACTGTCTGACACTGATGTCACAGAAGCACTCAGAAATCCATCCATAAGCAGATGGGATGACCCTCTGACTCAAAAGGAAGAAAAAGCAGGGTGAAGAAATCAGGAGGCAGTACTTTTTTCCAACCCTCAGAAGCACAGTCTGATTGCTACTGTCTGAAGTTACTAATTAGCAAGAGCAGAATTTTGTTCCTGCAAGGAATTGTGTTTGAGAAAGTAGACAAAGAGGAAACAGAGGAAGAAAAGTATGAAAGTTGCTGTTTTCTTTCACATTGTCTCAAGAACTGAAAGGAGGTGGGAGAACTTGCCATCAAAGTCCATGCCAGCTCTTTTCTAATATTCCCCATTATTTTGAAAATTAGGTTCAAGATTTAAAAGTAAGCTAGGGCCCCCAAAATTAGGCTCTTCAATAAATACTTTCTTAAAGTTCTGAGAGGGATTTGAGTGCTGAGAAGAAATCATAGGAAGCTAGATGCCTCATCTGTTTAGGCATTCTGGAAAACATCACTAGACTTCCAACTGAAATAAAAGGCTTTTAGAAATTTCACCCTAAACTGCAATGAAAAAAGAATTGCAACATCAGCTGTAAGGAACCCATTAGCCCTCTTGACATATTCAGAGAAATAAAGCAGTTGTCAGAAACAGTTTACCTTTTACAACCCCTTTAGAGAAAACTAACAACTGAAAAGCCTGTGAAATACAGATGCAGTGTATCTTACACCTGCTTATGCTTGTGGCTGTGTGGGAGTCAAAGCAGCAGGTCTCAAACAAAGTTAATGTAAAGTAGCTGAAGATTCTGAGTTGAAGCAAGGGCTTTCTTCCAATGACTGCAGTGCTCCAGTCCAAGTCTGGGCACCACTGCATGCCAAGGAGTCAGGGATCAGAGCGGTCCCTTCCTTGGATTATACGTTACTTACACAGGTCCTGCCACCAACAGAGCACAGAAATGTCAGCCTGAGCCCAACCAAGATCCACTTACTGTAAATGTGTGGTTTTACCAATTCCTATTGCACAAATGTTTAATAGGTCCATTTGAGTATGCAAAGATAATTAAGGAAAAAAATGGGGGTTTTATTTGGTGCTAATTCACCACATGCAAATTCCAGCTGTTTACTGTAGACCTACCACCAAGCATACACTTCTTCCCACAGCTCATCAGAAAGCCTCTTGCTGGTGAAAGTGGTTAATCCACAACATTTTTGTTGCTGAAGCCAAGACTCCAAATGGGGGGTTTAAGTTACTAATGACAAAAAACTTGCATTCTTTAACTAGCGAATACTGTAAGGGTTTCTCCATTTACAGAAAACCGCCCAGAAGTGGTTGCTGGCAGAAAAAAATGGACCAGAATAGAAGAAGCTGTTACCAGGCAGGACAGAGATGCACAAAGCAAAGCAGCAGCAAACAACAGGCTAGGAAAAAATCCTGTTATCTGACAGCATGGGACAGCCAAAGTAAGCGACAAGTTCCTTAGTGCCCGCCAAGCAAAAGCCTTGTGCTAAAATATCCTCCTGTGCCGTGGCCAACTCGCGGCCTCTGACCTCAGGCTGGAAACAAAGCTTGGCCTCACGCCTCACTGTGATGCCTTGTGCCACCACATGACAAAAGAAATGGCTCCTTTAATAACTAGGTTTGATGCTTTGTATTATTCCTGCCCCAGAAGCAACCAGAACTTCCAGCCAGCATTAGAGCTTTATGGTGCTGGTTTCTCTGCAAAGAATGAACTGCCGTGAGTTATTTTCAATTTATGGAAAACCAAATAGAAAGCCTCTAAGGGAATCAAAGAGAAGAGTGAATTAAACAAGTGCAAAGTTGCTCCATGGGCATACAAACCTAAATCTAATATATTATCAGTAACACCTAACATCATCACACATGTGATCTCATACATTTAAATTAAGACTCTGCATAGCATTGCATTTATAAATGAACAAGTATTGCATAATAAATGTATATAAAGAGCCATTTCAGTTTTGATGTGAACTATTGAGAAGATCATAAAGCTCAAGGCAGATCATTCTACAAATCATCTTTACAGTTACCAGATTGTGGCTCTACTTAACCCTTCTCTAACAGAATTCAGTAGAAGCACATCCCTCTGGCAGTGAATAACAGAAAAAGCTACTGAAGAAACATGTAACATGAAAAGATATAGCTCTCAAAAGAATCACAGCATCTGCTGTTGTTACTGGTCTCAGCTCTTCCAAAAAGCACAAGAAAAAGGCATTATTCAGGTCAGTTTTATAATTGCTCACATGGTCACAAACTGTAGTGAATAAAAATACTGAGATGTGGATCACTGCTGTGGTACTAGTTAGAAACGAACATAGCACCACAGCTACAGGTGCCTCTCTCGAAAAAATAGCTCCAAAACTGTCAGCAGTAAATTCTTAGGAAAAGTTGGTCTCCACAAACTACAGAAGCTGTGTGTAGTGTGCCCACATCTTTAAAGTCACCTGGTACTGTAAAGGGGCTTTCTCTAGATGCAATAACAAGCATGCACTAAACAACAGAGAATGTCTGCTACTACCTCCCACCTCCTAGCACCACACCTGCCCACAGGAATACACTGCATAGCATTAGCTTACACCTAACTCACTTGCACACTTTACTGACCAAAGCCTGGCACAAAGTCTGGAACACACAAGACCTCTTCACATCAAAATCACCTTTAGGGCAGGCAAACAAAACAATTATTTTTGAGATGCCTTTCTCATTCTAGTAACAGATACAGATTTAACAAGACAATTGTATCTCACTACACTTCACTTTATACAGCAAATATCTTCTTTCTTGCTTCTTCACCCTGACAACATTCACTAATTTATAATTATAAGTGGGTCTCCAGAAGAGATTGGTTGATGAACCTCAAAAGTTTCACAGATACCTGGAGGTGTGTAAGAGCTCCATCCACAGAACAAGCCACCAAATATGGCACTAAGAAAACAAACCCAAACCACAATGGAATCTCATTCAGAAGCCACTACCTTGCTTTTCAGAGACCTGATTCACTGTTGAAGTGCATGGCTGGTAGTACTGGATCTCATGACTCTGAAGAGCCCATGCTAGATGCTGGAGTTAACTTCTGTTAATTGGTTTTTGAAGGATATTTGCATTGTCACCTCAAAACCCTTGGATCAGATGGCTTGGGTGACAAATAGAATTCATCTATGAAAAAGATACCTTTCCAAGTTATTTTATGCAACTGCTGAGTCAATCAATTCTACACACTTAATTCCCTTCCAGATCAAACTTTACTGCCACCTCTTGCACTTTATTCTCCATAAGCCACCCCTGCAGAGCACCCTCCTCTGCCCAATAAAAATTCTACTTTCAAGTCCCTGTTTAAAATTTGCTGTGCTCCCGTTTTCTCCCCTGCCATGTCAGCAGCTAGGTTGACCACAGATGGAGCCCATTTGGCAGCTGAAATGACCCAGATGCTGAATCTGGAGCATCTTCCCAGCTGCAGTCGCTGGGCTCACGTCCGACTCCTCGGCTGCTGGCTGTCAAGCTGCCCTTGAGCTGTGCCAAGCATACATCCCAAAGCTTTGGCCAAAGTGGGGCAAATGCTCTAAATCTGTGAGGCTGCTGACAGAAAGGATAATAAAGACTAAAGGTTTTAAAAGTAGGCAGTGAGGGAAAGCAAACACCCTTCCCTCCCTTCTCTTCTATCCCTCATTTTTTTCCACAATCTCTTTTCCACTATTAATAAAAAATTCAAGGAGAGCTGAATGGTGAGAGCAGGTCTGATGTACCACACGCTAGTCAGAGGTACTGACCAGCAGGAGATTCCCCTTCATCCACACTGTGTGCAGTGGAAGGTGGCTCAGGTACCTCTGCTTCAAGTCACAGCCACAGCAAGGGATGGGAAATAATCTTTACTGAGGAAAAGGTGGCAACAGACAACTCCTTTATTACATTACATATTCATTCTTTAAGCTCTCTAGAAATCTTTAAACTATCAAAGCTGTAGAAATTCTTGGAAAATTCAGGAGTGACTACTTAATATCCTACTTCTGGCTAATTTCCTAATTTTCCTCTCTTAAAAGGACTTCTACATTTTCCATGCCTCCCCAATGAGGAGCAAAAGAAAAGGCTTACCTTGTTTCAATGACTACAGTCATGAAATTACCATTCTGCATTCTGATCTAGATTTAAGAGGGAGCATTTGAAGCTTTCACCCTTTACCTCATCTCTACTCATCCTGGCCCAGCACTCCACGTGCTGATAAAATAAACTATCCCCACCCACCATTAAAGTACCTCTACAGGGCCTATTCTGCTAAAAAAAAAAAAAATTTCTCAAATAGCAAGTCCAACTCAAAAATGCCTCTACTTATTACATATACACATACTGTACCTGTTAGAGCTCCTAAAAGGAAAACACTGTTTTAGAGAAAGTTTATTTTTCTAAAATATCACATTTGCTAGTGAAAAATATTTTGCACATTTAACACTGAATAGCCTATGTCTTGCCATAAACCTTCCCCTTTCCAAATTAAAGATCATCATCCAAGTAAAGGGATGAGTAGTAAATTACTTCTACCTAAATGTTTTTTGTAAAAAGCAAATAGCATTTTTTAAGACAGAAGAGTGATATATATTCCTGTTTTTAATTACTACTGAAAACAGTAGTACTGAAGCTATCTTCACCCTGCAGTATTTAAAAGTCACTAAACTGAGCTACAAGCATTAAGAACAGTGAAACAGACTTCATATGTAAGAAGTGGACTGCATTCCAGTAAAACCAAGTCAGTTTAACAACATATTAGTAAAGAAAAGAAGCTGTTTATAGTACTGTTTCTTTCCTTTAACCCTTTTCTTTGAAGGCAAGTGGCTCAAAATTAGATGACGTGTAATTAAGGACCAGGATCCAATAAACCAAAAATTTTATAATCTACTCAAAGATTTCTTATGTGATCATGTCCAGGAAACTAACCTCTGTCAGCACTCAGTTTCTATAGTTGCAATCTGAATTAGACGATGGAGAAGAGAGGAAGAGGCAACTTGGCATTAAATAATTATTCATAATTTCTGTAACTAAAAATAGGTACATAAGCACTAAGTACAGAAAGCAAAGGAACACTACTATTGAGTTGAACTGGAACACCAATCCTCATGCCCAACTGCTCTGCAATGGAGAAAAGACAGGATTTGATGCACTCCCACCATGGACAAATTCAGCTCTGCTAAGCCCCAAGGAAATGAAGTTGCAAAACAGAAGGTGCTTCACACAGCCAGACACTCTTATTTGTTTACCCAGCACAAACTCCCAACTGCAATCCTGCAGGTACTCAACTGCAGTAGTAGTGTATGGTGGAAAAATGACACTTGAAATACAGCCAATTTACAGGACTCTAGAAAACATTCAGAAGCTTCCACCAGCATCCTAGCTTATGCCCCTGAGACCAGAAATCCCCTAGAATTCTTCATTATGATTCTACAGCACCTAGCAAAAGTAGGCCCTCAACCACTAATTGAAAATGACAGAAAATCCCAATGCAAATCATGACCTCTGCTTTTAACTTTTTTGTTGGGAACCTTCTGTTTGGGGAGCAGCTTGCCTTTGTGGGATTCTTTTATTTGCTTGTAAATATGTCCTTCAAAACATTACTGGTCAAGGCACTGTATTTTACATCTACAGATTAGCAATGCACTTAAGAAAAATCCTAACAAAACAACCTATTGCCTTTCCAGGCTGAATTTGTCAGTGTGGGAAGAGGCTGCCACCCTGTGGGCTCCATCCAAGATACAACTGCAAGCCCTCACACTCAATACAAAATTGTTGAAAGTTTTATTTTTAAGAAAATGAGGTTATTTTTAGGATTTTCTCCATCAATATAATAACGTTTCAAATACATAAATTCACTTGTCATTCTGTACTGCACCTGAGAAAAATCAACATTTCATGAAGGCACTGTACATTGAAAGATTTTTTGGAATTACAAGAAAAAAACAATCTACCAAATCAAGCTTTGACCATAGTTAACTAGTGCAATCACTCAGTTCACAAGTGAGTTATGTTCTAAATGCAGCTTGTGCCACCCTTGGGAAGGTTTAAACACCTGGATTATGGCAATGCTGAATAGCGTATACAGATTGCTTAACACCTCTTCAGGTCTGGAGTTCATTTGTATTTGTAAAATCCTTCTCCAGTCTTTTTACCCAGCTTCTTTTCTTCTACCAGTTTATTCAGGAGTGGGCTGGGTGCAAAAAGAGGATTGTTGGGCTCTAATGAATGCCACCCTGGAAAGGAAGGGAAGTGGATGAATTAGTAACATTCTGTTTACATGCAAAGATAATAGAGATCAGCATCTCCTTAGAAAAACATTCAAAGGTCAGAAAACTGAAGAAGGACTGGAACTTATTCTAGGCTCTCTGAGACCCTGCAGTACAGCTCCATAAAGCCCAGATCAGTATTGATTATTATGCACTAATCTAAGAATTAGTCTTCAGGCTCAGTGTACTCCAAACACCTTATAGTCCCCACAACTGAGGATTTTTTAAAACAATTAAGAACTTTTGAAACATAGTTAAGTACAAGGAAATAAAATAAAGGCTCTGCTGAAAAGAAATTCAAGTGCAAAGAAATCCCAAGTTGAATTTCTACCTGCAAAACAATGGTGACTTAGAACAATGTAACACTACTCCACAGTACTAAAAGAGGTTCCACTGAAAATGCCATCATCAAAGTGACATTCTGCCTCAGAGAATGTTTAAGCTGCTCATTCAAAAGAACACAACAACCATCAACAAGTCATCACCATTATTTAAGTTTTTGTTACTGTATTGACATTCGCCCACTTATTAACTGAAGTGACAGGGAGATGGTTCACTTACATCTTTTGAGATATTTGCTGGGTTTCCTATTAATTAAAAATGAAAATATGGCTGGTAAAAAAAGGATAGGGAATCTCAACATTTGTCGATTTTCACAGAATTCCTCACCTCTAGTACATCACCCTTCCCACTGATTCTTTTTAGTAATATAAAATACCATTAATGTTAATATCATTACTATTTTCCAACAGCACTTGATGAAGTCAGCAAAGCCACCACTGTTCTGTCCCCAAGTACAAAGGGTACAGGCATGCAGTACAAATGTGGTACTCACACAGCATTCTGAGCTGAATCCTAACAGCTGAATCCTTTCTCCTCAACAGTTCAAAGGCTATACCATAAACATTCAGTTTAAATAATTAAGAGTCACATTTGCATTAAAACATCTACAATTTAGCTAGAAAGTGGAAAAGCAGAAAAAAAGAAGCATGCAGTACCATCTATAATGTATTTACTGGTATCCAACCCAACATAGTCCAGCAGTTCAAATGGACCCATGGGATAGCCAGCCCCAAGCTTCATAGCAACATCAATATCTTCCTTTGATGCATCTCCTAGAGAAAAGATTGACAGTTTGAGGAACAGAGAAGATTCCGCATCTCCTTGGCACCACTTATAAATAATTAACAGGGTGTTATTTCACCCTGGTGCAGCTCTTCACAGAAATCTCTGCATGTTTCACAGCCACAAAAACTGGAGTCAGCACACACATGCTGGAGCATAAAGCTGAACCTCTCACAAAAAAAGAAAAAAAAACAAGCCCTGCAGGCCTGCTTTCTATTTTCCTGGTTTCCTCCTGCATTTCAATACAGAGCACTGCACTGCTGATGGAGCCACAGCTACCATGCTGACCCTATCAGAATGACTAAAGGAAGAACTGGTCACTATGAAGAAACAAGAGCTTCTTTTAGAGGCAGCAGAACAGGGTAAGCAAGGAAACAACTCAATTTCAGCTCCATGAGATCAGCAGCAGCTTTTGAACAAAGCACAGCACAGAGCTACCCTTATGCTACAGCTGCCAGAACACAAGTGATATCCAGCTGATGGGTAAGGCAGGCATGGAGAGGGGGGCAGGAGTCTCTGAGTAACATGCTGAGCTACAGCACCTATCACCAGAGGATATCTGTTGGAATCAGAGATGGCAGATAACAGAAACCTGAAATGACTGTGCAGATGCAAATGAATTCATGAATTCCACAATCATTTAAAAAGAAATAGTAAAATTATCAGAAATTTGTTACGTCTGCTTCAGTCTGAGTCTATAAAAATACAAATCCTGCACTGCCACATTGTCACAGTACCTTTAACCTCATTCTTTAGCTGGGAATACATATTTTAGACTGTCATCAAAGCAGATGCATCTCTACTGCATACCTCTAACTCATATTTTGAGAAAGGCAGTGCACTTTCTCTGCAGATGCTACAAAAAGGATGAAGTTATACAAACCCCAGAGGTCCTTGTTAAGTAACCTCCGTGCTCACTGCGCACAGGCATGCACGGTGTCCGGCAGCGTGGCAGACACAGAGGCTTCTGCAATTTATATGCCTAAGATCAGAGAGCCCTTGAAATAAATTTACAAAATCTCTTGTAAAGGTAACAACTTCAGTGACAGTTCTGTAGGAACTAATAATTTATATCCTTCCTTTTACTCTTTAAAGCTGACAATGTTTTTTTTAAGCCACATTTTATTTCTGAGAAGCTGTGGAGAGTAGTCTTACCTAATTCTAGCATAATTTCAGTTCCCCAAATTCAAACACAGCTAAACTCTCAACTCACTTGCAGCTGATGGAGGTATACAGACTTGTTCCCTCAACAGATTTGTCCCACTTTGTCAAACTTGGTACTAGGCCACCCGACAGTTTAATTACAGCACAATAAAAAGCAGAAAAAGAGCAAACAAGGGCTATATCCCTAGCTCATTCTGGTCTCTCCTAGTATAAAGCAGACTTCCATAGAAACTCAGCTGACTGCTTTTTAGTTTTTCTACTAAGGGCAGAGCAGTACAGACCACTATACATTAATATTTACAATAAGCCCCATATAAGTCATTGTTAATATACTAAAGGTATATTGCTTAAGCAAAAGTGCACATTTAACTGAATGAGATTTTGTACAAATAAAAATGCAAGGACTAGCCCAATAAAATGGCATTTCAGTGCTTGGGGTTACCAGGAAAGAGACACAATTTCATTTAACGTAGATTCTAGCTCAAGTGTCTACTCTGAGAATAAACACAAAAGATACGATAGAAATTTAATTTGATTCACTCAAACATATGAATTAAAAGACAGCCATCAGCCTTCCCATGACATCAACTAGCTTTTTAAATTGATTTCACTGAAGTTAAAAAGTCACAAATGAAATTTAGCAATTTTGTAAATATCATGCTGTGGGAGAAGATACAAAAAGAATAAAGATTAAATTGAAATATTGTTTTGCTTAGGCAAAAGCACTCGGTTTTAACATTCAAATCCAGTAACTGTTTTCTCCTGCATTTAATTAAAAAGTTCTGTTGTCTCCTGAAATATGCATAATGATACATGTCACTTAACAAAGGCACCTCTTTTAAACACACTGAAACACCCATACACTTTATTCAAAACTGTGACTTTTTCTAAAAAAATAATGCCCCCTCACATTCATGCCTTTGCCTTTCAAGTCACTAAATTTGCTCTTTTCTCCCTCTGAGATGTAATTAGGTACATCTGTTGATGGATAAACAAGTAGTGTTGTTTTACTTTTTTTTAGAAATCAAACCATCCCTTCCATGTGCTTTAAAAGAGATTTTTAATATTTAAAGCAGACTTGGTGGAATCCTGAAAATGGAGTGCTTTCATCTGTAAAAAGGCAGTGATTTCAAAAACAAAATGTTTCAAATGACATTCTTAGTAGCACAGAGCTATGAGCAGAGAACTTGAAATAAAAGCAATTATAGTCTGTAATTTCAGCTTTATCCACTACATTCATTATTGGCTTCTTTTCAAAACAAGCTTCAATGCTTTGAAAAATTCAGTGGTTCTTTGGGGATTCATAATTATTTTTACCTACATATTAATGTAAAAGAGACCAGCAGTGAGACAGGAGTTCCTGAAGAACCAATGTCTAAAAATCAACACAGAAGGGGAACAGAAAGTTTTATGTGGCAGTAGCTGAGCTGAAATCACTCTAGTGCCAGTACCACAATGTGACACTATTACACCACTTACCTTGAAACTGGGGGTTTATTTCACAAGCCCCATATGAGTGAACTCAGGAGAACTTTACTAACAGTCCCATTATGGGACTTTCAATCACTTTTATCAATGTCTCCTGGGACAGAGAGAGGAAAGCTCCTCAATAGGTGGCAGTGGATGTTTTTACAATGGTTCTACACTCACCTTGTCACCTCCTAGCCAGAAACATTTTCCACCACCAGGGGTTTCACACACAAGCACCTTCCAACTCTGCAAAACCTGACATTTCAAAGAGAAGGCAAGGTCTTTCCAGCTACACATGTTGGCTGATATTTAACATTCTCTATTCATTTCCAGCTTTTAATGTCTGAAAATTTTGAGGGAATCCCATGGCTTTTCTGCAGCAATGTAACATTTAGTAGTGTTATATGTCAACCTCCCTTAAAGTGAATATCCCACCAAGTACCTCTCTCAAAAAGACGAACAGCTTCCATCATATATGGCACCAGGAGACGGTTTACAATAAACCCTGGAGTGTCCTATGAAAAATAAAAAAGGCATTCTAAGTTAGCACTCTTTGCCAGAACTACACTCAATGCTATGTGACAAATAAAACAAGTGGATGAAGACACTTATTGTATAATTACTTAAGATACTTTCTGATCTGTATTTTTCATCTAATTTTTCTGCTCAGTATTAAAGCATAAAACATTGTGAAATTCAAACAAGGAATGGCATATAAGCAGTTATCACGATTGAGAATAATAAGACTACTACAAGTCAAAGCAATCAATCTTAAAACAATTTAATATGGCTAGTCTTTTCTTTATCAAGAGTCAATGATACAATTTCCTGAAGTTAGGAGAAAAGCAATTCTTCCCTAAAAAGTTTTTTTGTGTGTGTCCACTACCAGAAGCACTCCTGACTAAATAGTCTGCTTCTCCCCCACTGCTCACTGGTGATCCGTGCTTTTGAAAGTTAGGATAGCTTTCACAGCAAACATCAACACTGACAATGAAAAGAAAAGACACATGCTGTCAGAAGGTACCAAATGAAAACTTCTTTTGCACAAGCATCAATCAAAAGCAGAATCAATCAAAAACAAGAGAAAGAGTTCTGCAAATATAATATTATTTTGTATATTACTACTGTTCCAGATATTTATTATTCATTCCACTTTATTTCAGTATTTAATCCAGAGAATCCCAAGCAATGTTTCTTCTATAAGCAAGAATTTAAAAACAAAAAAAGTTCAGGCATGAATACTGCATTATTCTCTATCCAAGCTAATTTATAACAATTCTTCCTATATTCTGCACATTGCATGGTACTAAACTGTGACAGAAACGGGAAAAAAGTCAACTAAGGCCACAGAACAATTTAGCCAGAATTTAGAGAACATAGCTAGAATCAGAGTCCAGCATCCAGCAGCTGAATTAATTAATCCAGTAACTACCGGATTGCAGGCCCTTCTTTTTATTATCAGCTGTCTCCTGGGGGCTGTGAAACCCAAAGCAGTAGCTTGCATAAAGCTATCCAGACCACAGCTTAATGGATTCAGAAAAAGTGAGCTTTCAGAGTAGAGTGTTTCTCTAGAGAAAATAAACCAAAGCTGAGAAGAAATTAAGATGAATATGTGTCTAGTTACTGCAGTCTTAAGAAAACCTTGCAATAAGCACACACCATGAAGGATCCAGCCAACTGCCTCACAGTACAAGAGGCAGCAGTTTTGTCTCTAGCATGGCTAAAGATGAACTCCTGCTTAAACTCTCCAGTCTATACTTCTTCAGGACTTGAAAAAAAGACTCCATAACCATAAGCTCTGATACCTGTGAGTTTTGCTGCTCTAGACAAGATGTCCAGAGTCACTGGACTTTGAAGAATTTGTGGTAAATGTGGGTGTTTTCTTTGTCAAATTACTTTTAATTATGAAGACAAACTGGACAAGATGCAGCCTAGAAATTTTTGAAGTCCTCATACATCTACTAAAACCTACCACCTTAAAATTAACAGGCTACAAGGACAGACCCTCTGAACAGTATACTGTCAAAATGTACTCACCTTACAACTGACAGGACTCTTTCCTACTGCTTTACTGAAATCCACAAGTGATTCAAAAGTCTTTTGGCTGGTCATTGGAGTCTTGATGACCTGGGTGCAGGGAACGTAGAGAGAGCATAAGCATATTAATGAGCAGAATCTCTCCCATTTTCCCATTGCAGCAATGTAATCCAGAATACTCTTCCAGAAATTCACAAAATGTTTTGCAGAAAACCACCTTGAATGTATAAATATGTAACAGACACAGATTTTACACATAGATACAGCATTTTGCAATGTTGTGTTTCTTTAAGACACTTTCCCACTCAGCCACTACGGAAGGATGGTAAAAGGAACCATTCTTTGAAAGCACACTTAAGAGATTATAGTGTATCAAAATAACTCTAAAAGCTACATAGTCTCTTGTCTTCGGAAACACAAAGACAACATCCTGGAGACCCATTTAAACAGCTGTAGTTCCTGATAGAACAAGTTCCAGCAGCTACTCCACCTCTCCATAACCCCCTCTCAGATAATTTTAGGGAGTGATAAGGTTTCTCCTTGGCCTCCTTTTCTCAAGCTAAACAATCCCAGCTCCCTCAGCTGCTCCTCCTGTGAGTTACTCTCTGGACTCTTCACTGGCTCTGTTTCCTTTCTCTGGACACACTCCAGCACCTCAATGTCTTTCTTGTAGAGAAAGGCCCAGAATTGGACACAGCATTTGAGGTTGGCCTCGCCAGTGCCCAGTACAGGGGGACAGCCATGGCCCTGGTCCTGCTGGCCACACTATTTTTGACACAAGGCAGGATAGCATTGGCCTTCTTGGCCACCTGGGCACACACACTGGCTCATGCTCAGCAGCTGTCAGCCAGCACTCCCAGATCCTTTTCCTCTGGTCAGATTACCAGCCCCTCTTCCCCAGCCTGTAGCACTGGAAATATTGAAACAAACACACCTGACTTTGTCTGAAAAGTGACAAGGCAATAAGATTTAATCTCCTGACATTTTCTATTTATTTCTACACTAGTATCAGCAATTCCTATGAATAAGCCTCCCTGCTTGAAATGATAGCTATAAACAGCACCTCTGCTGGCAGTTCAGTGGGGAACTCAGGAGCCTTGAGACTGAAGGAGTTACCTCTGTCTGTTAAACCTGCTCCTCACCAGAGACTGCAGTACCCTCTAATCATTAGAGGTAGCAAATTCCATATCAGAGCAGCTGCAAACTGAGATCTGCTCTGTCAATCTAAGTGAAATCCCACTGCTGACAATTGCACTGCTGGGCTGCAGCTGTAGCTGATGGAACATGATGATAGCAGCCCCTGTAAGGCGTGCACACAGGACACTCACCTCCACAAGCTTCATCATGGGCACAGGATTGAAGAAATGGAGACCACCAAATCGGTCCTGCCTGGTGGTTGCATTTGCCATCTTTGTGATTTGCAAGGATGAAGTGTTGCTTGCAAATATCGTATGCCTGGGAATAAGAAATACACAGATTGCATGAAGGACAGTAGGAGACTGAGGCACTAAACATAAATAGACATCCACTGGCTAACCAGGCAAGAATTCTCAGAAATATCCCTGCAGTTTATCACAGTCCTTTTGCAGAGGTCTAAGCACAGTAATTTAATCAAATAACCACTTCAGAAAGACTGTTTGACTTTCTGATTCCTGAGGAATTATATTGAATGCTTTTATTAGGGGCTAGAAAAAAGGACTGTGCAATTAGAAAATTTTATTTCACTCCCCAAATCCATTCTAGGTAATTCCTTCAGCAATCCTGGAAACCTAAGGGTATTTTTATTTGCTGTTAAACACATTTACACATTTATTGAAACCAAATCATATGCCATGTCAAAAATGCACTTTGGAGTCATACAGAAAATCTGCAATCTACTTTATTTTGAAATTATCAATGATAGACATGATGAGCAAACTTACCACCAGAGCAAATATTTAATAGGGAAAAAAACCAGAGAAAATGTAAGACCTGCCATGCATAGGACACCACAAAGGATCTACAAAATGCCAAGAATTTTAAGACATATAGGAAGTCCTTCTCCAGACATAAACCAAATTTACTAACTGCAATTTATAACGGTTTGAGTATTTTGTTTGTTTGGGTTTGTCCTCCCAGAAATATCTCAGACCCCCAACAGCCCTGCTATCACACCAAAACCTTAAGAGAAATGGCTTTTTCTTCAAATCAGAAAATCAGAAACTAAATTAGAGATTAAAACCTACCTTTCATTTTGGACTGCATCCTACCATCCCTTTCTGTTTTGCAGAAAACCACCTTGAATGTATAAATATGTAACAGACATATTTATATGATCCTACTGGACTCAGCAAATGTTTATCTATGCTGATATTTTGCTTACATTGTACTAAGATGTAACTGAGCTTTGCAACAGAGCTTTCAGGAAAGTTATGTCCAAGTCATGGTGACATCTTATAGTGGCATTAAAGACAACATTTCAAGACAAAAGCATTCAATTTGTTTTCAGTTTTTCATTATGTTTTCTTTTTTGTTATAGCGAAGGAAATAAAAAATCCTGAAAATTCCTGCTTATTCTTCTTACAAATAATCTTTTATTATCTCTCCACCATAAAGTGGCCTTATACTGCTCTGAGGTAAGGTACTAAAAGGAGCATTCTACATTTCACAGTTTTGACCTTGCAAGGCCAGTGAATACAAAAGTCACTTACTCTCACTGAAAATCTGTCACTGTATGTAAAAATTAAAATACTCATATAAAAAAGAAGCACATTGATTTGTGAAATATAATTGCTAGGTTTATATCTGAGTTCACTTAAGAGATTTTACCTCAGTACTTCTTCTGTAGCCTCACACACTAGAAAGCCTTGGAAAAAAGAAAAGCATTGGATTTGCACTGTGAATAAGTGCATTTTAGTTACACTTTCTTCTCTGACCAACCAATTGATTTCATTGAGTTTAGAATAGAATTTTCATGCCTCTGTGACTTAGAGTTACACAATCCACGCTTCAGAGGGCAGCAGAGTTGGGAGGCTTTGGGAAGCCCCAACTAGTGAAGGCACAGAAATGGCTTTCCCAGCAGAAGAATGCTTTCTCTTGGTGCCATCTAGTGGCTCAGGGAAGACATCAAAAGCAGAGCCCAACACAAGAGAAACCCTAATAAATATTTCCAATAAATCCAACTCTTACAGTCCAGCTGCCTTACACAGCAAACACTGAATAATGCTTCTTTTTTTAACAGTTTTTTAACACATTCATTTGAACACAGTGAACAGCTGAAAAACACTGGCCAGGTCCAAGCTGAGTTTCTACATCTAAAGGCAAATCCTAGACCAAAGAATATTGAAGGGCATTTACTACAGTCCCAGAAAAAACCAGAAATCAAGTACAGAAAAGTTCTTAAACTGGAAATGCAAAAGTTCTTTTGTCATACTTGTTACAACCCTGTTTGGAAAAGTGCTGCAGTGTCTACAAAAATCCTAGCCTGACCTTTTTCAAAATGGAAATGCAAGACTAACTCCACTCTAGAAAAGGAAAACAGAACTGAAGAATGGGTAGCAATGCTTTACTCTGGTCCAAAGATGATGACCATGTAACACAGTAATAAATACCAAATATGGTGAGTTTAATTCTGAGAGGAAGAGAACATACAATTCTGCCTTCCACGTTTTGCAAAGCTCCAAAAACATAAATTTTTGCTCTGAGAACATAAACCAGTATGTTCTCAGACTAATGGCACCCAAGAAACAGCATCCACTGTTTCACCTGGACAGTTACCCAGATGGGGAATACTCTGAGTTTCCAAGGTGCTCTGGGGTTTCCAGATGCTCCTGGCTTATTACATTTGATTTGAACACTCATGAGAAATTTGCTCCCCACTCACAAATACAACTTCTCTCAGTAAAAGAATAGCTTTCCCATCCCCTACATGTTTAGATCCACTTTCAGAAGAATTACAGTTACTTTATAAGAAAAGGAAAAGGAATTAAGTTAATTGTGCTATTGTAATACTTCAGTTTTTTGCAGTTCCCAGACTTATTTGTTTTCCTCAGAGATGTCTCCATAGTGCAAAAATGGGAGATGAACAAGTACATGTTGCAGCTGAGGAAATGCATGAAACATGAAATACATCACAAAAGAAGAAAAATGCAGGGTTTCACACACCTTGCATTTCACAGGCAGAATTCATCTTGCCAGAACAGCTGTCATACATACCCCTCACACTTCCACCTGCTATCATCCACCCCTCTGGGAAGTCCTGAGATTTGAATGAAGCCGAGTCCTTCCTTCACAGCATCCTGGTCCTTCCTGGTCTCCCCCTGTAACCCACACTGCAGAGGGCCACCAATGCTCAGAGCCCCTCAGAAGCAAAGCTCCTCCTGAGACTCAAAGCTGTCTTTGTTACCAATTAATCACAAGTCTACCACCCCTAGAGCTGACACAACAGTTAGTTCACACAATAGGTTTATAAATTTTGAACTATTCAATCTTAGAAGGCTGTAGAATGTTGGCACTGACAGGGAGAGATTTCTATTCCAGCACAGTGCCATGTGGGATGAGTAAAGCCTACTGCTTCCTTCTAACACATGGAAAAACACTCACTACAGGTTTGTCTTTCCCCACACTAAGCACACCATCTGCAACTCTATACACTCTCACAGTTACAAATTACCTTTTGTATCCAAAGCTAATATTTTAAACACTTGACTACTCAGTTTCACTATTTTACCAGTTTTTCATCTAGACTTTCCACACTGCGACCTGTTTTTTTGCCACCCACCTAAACTTCCTTTATCCTACACATAAGACACCTGTATGTTTATAATAGCTTCCAAATATCCTCTTAAAAAGGAAGGCTTCTTGCCTTAGCCGTTTTTCCCAACTCTGCAAAATCATCCCTTTTGCAATGGGCAGGAGCAGATTTGAACAACACCCAGTATCTTTTAACACTGTGATGTAAAATCTGATGTTTTACAGCAGCTGTGCTGACAAACAGCTCAGTCTTCCAAAAAACAGCCTCAGGTGTTCCAAACACACATATTTTTATGTGAGGCTCCAAGTCCCCATGCCCATATTTCCTTGCTGACTGGTTTTAGACAGTTCACCATTTAGTACACCCCAATTTGCTCATTAAATACTCGGCCAACCAGTGGTCTGTTTGCACAAAATAGGCACAAACACACAAACCAACCACAACAAGGTACTCTCATAAACGTTGAAGGCATCTCTTTACTTTTGTGTGTCAGGGTAATGGTAAGTTACCCTGTGCTCAGTACATGGCTACTTGTGATCATTGACTGTATTCAAAATTACAAAGTAATTTTAATTACTGACAGGAGGAGAAAGTCTGACAATCTCCCCAGGCTGAAGTTAACTAATTAAAACATCTTTTTTCCCTTGATATGATATTCAAGCCACAGCTTGCCCAGTTGGCAGGTCAGACAGTCTAGAATATCTCTTAGCCAATACCCCCAAATTTACCTGCACTAGTTAAAATCTCAACAAGCAGTCAAGGTCTTGTGATCCTGACTCATCAATTACAAGGCTCAAATTTCTGAGATTGCATGCTCACCTTAACAGCATTTTTGGCTTTGGATAATATTCAACAGTAGCTTCCAACAGTTATCAAATATAGGTCAAGGACATTTCCAGGGACTTTATGTAACTGAATGAGTACCTACTAAAATACTATTTACCCTTTTACATCACACACAATAACAAGCAGTGGCTGTTTCCTAACTCCTGTAATACAAAGTAAAGTTAGTTCACTTAAGACATTATTGAGCTGGGTGAGACTTCTTAGAACTTGTTTATGACAGGTGTGCTGGAAACAAATACTTTATAATTCCAATTCCCAATTCAGGTATGGGAACACAACATTAACAGTAACTCATGTACACTGGAACAAGTCAATTCTACTGTTCTGCATTTGTAGTTGGATTAAGATTTGAAAGTGCCAAGTAGATAGGCAATCCTAATGACTAAACACACCTGGAACAACAAATGAAGCAATGCAACACACCTGGGAATGTTTATAACATATGCACCTGGCACAACTATTCCACACCAACATAATAGTGTGGAGCTAGTCTGAGACAGCAAAACTCATTCTTAAATAAAGCAGCTAAGAAAACAGAGAACTAATTGTGAGTGGAAAAACAGAAAATAGTCTAAGTTTCAAAATGTAACAGGAAAAATATACATACTCTGGAGCAAACTTATCCAGTGTCTGGAAGAGTTTATTTTTAACTTCCAGGTTCTCCACAATGGCTTCTATCACCAAATCCGTGCTGTGGACCACTGATGCTGCATCTGTGCTTGTTGTGAGGTTCTTCAAGGTCTTCTGAATGAACTCAGCACCAGCCTGAAACATTTTCAAGCAGCTGTAATGTCTATTTACAGTGATTTAATTTACTTTTATATGAGAATCCCCTTATGTTATCTGGTGGTTTTGACCCCCCCAAAAAGCAGGCAGTCTGCCACATTCCCAAATCAATGAGAAGGTTCTAAGTGTGTAGAGGTACGATACTTTCCAGTGACAAAGTTTTCCTAGCCAATCAAATCTGTTTTGAAGCAAATAGGAGACCTTTAAACTCATTCTTTCAGGAAGACCATTTGCTGTAGTCCAACCTTCAGCACAAGAGTCTGAGTGATCACCTGGTTGGTCAATCAGTGGCTAAAGTTTCAGTGAAAAAGTGGGGGAAAACGTTTCCTCACTAGTAAATCTGTTGACGTAGTTTGTGAGGGCAGAAATCAAACAGAAACGCAAGACTTTTAGCCAAGGGTACATGGAGACACAGTAAAAATAAAAAAAACTCTATATGGTAAAATATAATGTCATACAAAAAGTGCAAGTATTATGTGGATAGCTTTCTTTTTGATTAAAAGGCTCTCCATAATTATGTACGTATCCTCCACTTATCCTGGCACTTCCATACTCCTGCAAGCAAGGCCTTTTTATTTCCTTCCTCTGCTGCATCATTTTCTGGCAATCATCAATACCAGTGTACGTTGTATATGTTAATATGTATCAAAAGAACAAATGAATCTGCTGAGGAATTCAGAAAAGCAAGCACAGCAACAAGTAACCCTTAGGATACAAAGCCAGACTCATCAACTGCACCACAGTGGCTGGCTGTAGGCAAGATTACTCAGCAGTGCAAGTGCAAAGTTATAAATCTAAAACATCTCACTTGCACTCTCATTTCCTTTGCAGTAATCCTGTGCCCAAGTGTAAGGAGGAGAAAAAAAAAATAAAAGACTCCTTACTCAGGTATTAAGACAATTTTGTTACTATTTGCTTTTGGACAAAATGGGTGCATTCCCAGGTAAGCACTCAAAGACTGCTTGCTTTTAAGTTAAGATGAATAATTTTATTGCATTTCACACTTAGCATCCGTTTTAAAAGATTGCTAAGTTGGTTTAGATCTTTAGCTTAAAGCTGAAGTTTATTAAGGAAAGAAAATGAGGTGACACATCTTTCAACCTCCCTAAATTAAAAATAAAAAACAAACTGAAAGTCCAGGTTCTTGAGCACACTGGAAAAAAAGTTTCCTTTTTAAGCAAGTATAATAACATGTTCTGTAATGCATAACTGCAATATCATAACTTCAATATGGCAGCTTTTATTCTTCCCAGTTTTCCTAGAGGAATAAAGAAGGTGTCAACCTCAGGCTTATCTGCAAACTTCTTCTTTATCACTCTCTTCAAACTCTCTTCAATTCCTTTTGTAGACTTTTTAAGGATTTCATCTGACTGGTCAACTAATACCACAGTGTGACCACTGGCTGCTGCAACCTGGAAGTTAAAAGAAAACAAAAATGCAACTCAATATCACAAAATAATCAATCATATTAATTTGTGTTGACAGACAAAATGCCAGGCATTTAGGCAAAAGAGAGCTAGAATACATTGAATTAAATACACTTGACTAGAAAAATCATAAAAGCCTGTATACAGCTGGGGTGATGCTTGAAGGCATAAAGGTCTCAACTTGAAGGAAAAGGAAAAAGAAATCTCTCCCTCACACTGTCTGCAGAATCTTGTGTCTGAAGGCATCTAAATTCTGTGGCCATGGCTACAGAATAAACAGCTGTCTTGAAAGGAACAAATGTTTTAGCTGAGAGCCTTGGATCTGGTAAGGAAAAAGGGCTGTGGAGGCCAAAACTGGAACACTGGCAGGGTGAGCAGGTGGCACAGGGGATGGCCAACCCTGTGTCCCCAGCACACAGCTCTGCTGCCAGGCCACAAGCGTGTCCCTGCAACGACAGAAGGTGAAGCTGGGCCAGAGAAGCTGGGAGCAGCAGTGGACATTTGCCACTCCAGGATTCCACACAGACAAGAATGGCTGCAAAGTCTCCCTGCTCTGCACTTGGTGCAAACACTGGCTCAGCTACACACAGCACTACTGGATTGCCTTTTGGTTGGCATTTCAATTAATTCCAAACATGTAACATCACAGTCTCACACTGCATCAGCACATTAAAGATCAAGTGCTCATTATCTGTTACTTCACTTTTATTTTATGTTCCTCTTGTTAGTTAGCAACAGCCTCTCTTCACTTCTAGAATCCTTGAACTAACAGAGCTGTGATTTAGTAACTGTGTAAAACAAATATTAGAACACAGTTCCACTGATGGTTTTAAAGTGAGTCAACTTCAGAGCTTCCCTTCTGCAATCTTTTACCTTGCATTTAACCTTACATGTGATGACTAAAGACTCATGCACCCACAAGACCTATTCCACCACAGCTAGCTGAAGTGGAAAGTGCAGCTATCTCATGAAGAAACGCATGGTGATGTTCTCATCCAATTTGCCTCACTAACCCAGCAAATAAAGAAATGCCAGATTGTCTCTGGACAGCAGCAGTAGAGCTTTAACAAGGGGTCAGTCTGCAGACAGACATTTCTTGATCCAACTTGTTTTTTTTATTTTCACTATGGCCATTCCATAAAAACCATTTAAACTTCTAACACTTCATCTGTTGCTAATCATTTGAAACAGTGATTTTTCATCTGAGGATGAAAAATCATTACGAAGCACATTTTTAGAGCTGCTTCACTAAGGAACCCTTTATGACACTATCACTGACCAGCTGGTGAGAAATCCTAGAAAAATTAACATCTCCCATTTCCCACCATATTTACATGGACAGGGAAGAAGAAAATGAGACAGGATCATACCATTTCCTTGCAACTCAATCACACACTTGCCTAAACTCTACTATCCAATGATCTTAAGAATGTGTTTCCAAATAAGAAGCACAAGTGCTGGGGAGTCACTGCTTTTTTCATACAGAAGTGCTTTTCACAGAGCATAATCAAAAATTATAAATAAATTATAATAAAGCAAATAAATATAAATAAAGCCATACACTTTAGCAGAGGCTTGCTTCACTGACAGTATGAAATGCCAGGAGAACAGGAGATGCAATTTCTTAAGTGCTCAAAAAGGGATGAAAAGCAGCTTTATTAATAGGGTACAGGGGAGACACCACTCAGTGTTATAATGACCTCTGCTTTGAGATAAGTTTGGATTGATAAATTGGAGGCAGATGGTCAGCAAAATAATCCTGGGTCCTTAACAGTGGTAGAGGCCTGCAACCCCTGTTACTGTCAAATACCAGACATGTTTCTCGTGACAAGCTGCTCTCTGAAAATGTGCAGTCCAGCAGAACGAGATCAGCACACTTACCTGGAAAATTATAAGCTTTGCATGGTCTGCATCTTCCTCAAACACAAGAACAACTTTTTTCTAAGTTGTTCTTTGATGGCTCTCCAATGGAAACCTCAAGCTTTAGTATTATGATACACAGTAGTGTTTTTACCAGAAAAGAGAACAAACAACTATTTTCTTAGCCAAAAAAATTGCCACTGTATTCCATCTGCTAGAGATTTGACCAGGAATGTAAGAAATCTTTAGTTCTGAGAGGCAAACCTATTAATTCATTGAAATGGAGAACTGCTATTCATGAGCTCCAGCTCCAGCCTCACTGTCTGCTTCCCCTCGGATGTTTGCGTGCCCCCCTTATTCTTTGTGAAGTTTGTGAACCACGCTGGTATCCTGGGCAACGGGTTCTTTCTCTGAAGTAACTAAGTGCCAAAATTTTCAATCACTGAAAGGACTCTTCAATTTAATATCCTAAAGCTATCAAGCCAAAGGTGAACTTAAAAGCCAAAGGCCTGAGGTTAAACTCTGGGAAAATAAGTCCTATTTAAATATTAACCACTTCATAATTCTGAAGATGAATGACAGCTAAATGCTCATTTTAGCTGCTGCATGTAAAACGTCTAAAAAAAATCACTAGACCTGCTCTCTTGCCGAGTTAGAATAATCTTCTTTCCAACCAACATTTTCCACGTATTTCCACAGTCCCACTGTCTGTTTACAATTAGCCCACGCATTAAGAACCACCTTAAGCAATTTAAGCCATCAGCCTGGGTTCTCCTCTCCAAGTCGTCCGACCTGAGGATGGGCGGATCAGAAGTGTGAGAGTTGAGCAAGCAGAGCGGACAGGAGCAGCCCCGGCAGCAGCGGAGCCCGAACCCGCGGCACCCTGGCAAGGCAAGCGCAGCGGCGCGTCCCGCCCAGCCCGGCCGAGAGCCGGCGCAGCCGCTGCTTCCCGCACAAACACAGCCTGGGAAGGCAAGCGCGAAGGAGTTTGACCGTGGACCGTAACACGTCCTGAGAAGCGCCAGGAGGGTTGTTACGTTTAGTTGTAGGTTTTATTAATGCTGGTCCGCCAGCTGACCGCTCGCCCTCCCTAGAGCTCGTCCCTTCCCGCCCGGAGACAGCGCGGAGCGCAGCGCCACGGCCGGGCTCAGCTCCGAGCGAAGAGCCCCAGCGGAGCTCCGGGACGCAGGAGCAACAGCCCGGGAAGGGCCCGCGCTGGCTGCAGGGCTCGCCCCGGGCCCCGGCCGCCATGGCGCCTCCGCTCCCTCCCGCCCCGCGGCCGGGCCGCCGCACCGCGCTCACCTGGGCGATGCCGGCGCCCATGAGGCCGCCGCCGATGATCGTGACATGCTTGATGAGCAACTTCTTGGCGGCCGCCGTGGCGGCGTCGGAGGAGGCGGCGCGCACGAACTGGCGGGTGGCGAAGGCCATGGCGAAGGCGCGGAGCGAGCGGCGCGGCCGGGACAGGCGGAGCCGGGCCGGGCCGGGCCGGGCGGGGCGAGGGCCGCGCTCCGCCCCGGGGGAAGGCGGCCGGTTCCGGCTGCCCAGTCCCAGCTGCCCGCCGACGGGGCAGGCGTGTTGGGTCTTTCACCTTCGCTACCTCTGATTCTTTAAGAGCCAAGCAGCAAGGGCAAGGATACGCTGCCGGCACGCCCGCGAGTCCCCGGCTGGCGCTGGGCCGGCGGCCGAGGCTCCGCTGAGGGCCGCCCTTTGTCTCAGCGCTCACCTGCCCGCTGCCGCTGCTCACGCTCGCTGAATCGCTGAGTCAGTGAGGCTGGAAAGACCTCCGAGGCCATCGAGTCCAACCCATGACCAAACACCACCATGTCAACTGCACCACGGCACCAAGTGCCACATCCAGTCTTTCATTAAACACCTCCAGGGACGGTGACTCCACCGCCTTCCCGGGCAGCTCATTCCAGTGTCAAACCACACTCTTTGTGAACACAGAGCTCAACCTAAACCTCTCCCGGTACAGCTTAAGGCTGTGTCCTCTCATCCCGTCACTGGTTGTGTGGGAGAGAAGAGGTCTGCCCCCACCTGGCTGCCCCTCCTGTCAGGGAGCTGTAGAGAGCGATGAGGTCTCCCCTGAGCCCCAGCTCCCTCAGCCGCTCCTCACAGGAGCTGCGCCCCAGACCCTTCCCCAGCCTCTTCACCCTTCTCTGGACACCCTCCAGCACCTCAATCTTCTTCCTATTCACATCAATAAAAGCTCTCTCCCCACAACAAAAGTTTCCTGACAGAAGGGGATGCTATTTCCAGGCTAGCACAAGATACATAATAAACAAATATAATAAAAAATCAAGAAAAAAATTCTTCCATTAACACTAACAGCTGAATCATATCAGATGCAGACTGCCCTGATTCCCATCTAATTAATTTATCACCAGAAAGACTTGCACTTCAGCAGCAGCTGACAACACAGCAATTACTACTTGAGTCAGCATCAGGGTAAACATTAAGCAATATGTTTTATTCAAATAAAGTGTTGTATTCTCATATCTCTGCACTTTGCACCACAAACCTACTGCAAAAAATTCACCTGGATTAGGTAGGAGCAGGAAGTGGCTGTGGAAACAGCTTTATCCAAAGACTCACCCTTAATGGTCTTTGTCTATACAAATGACAGCTGAGTGGTAATTAATGAATTTCCCCTAAAAGCAAGCAAACAAACAAAAAATAGCAGTATACCAAGTAACCTGCAACCTAACACCAGAGCATAAGACACAAGATTTCCACATACAGGTCTTGTTGCTGAGTGCCCAGCTCCTGGTTAACACCAGTGCTGATACCCATCCCCTCCCCACAAACACTTCAGCTGGCTCCTGCTCAGCCCCTTGTTCTTCCATAGGGAAGGATGTCCCACTTTCCCGAGACCCCTTGGGGGCCCTTTGCCTGCTCCCCCAGGCTCCCTCTTGGCACCCCTTTCCCTCTCTGCCCAGGTTTCCTTTCCTGCAGGATGCACACCCCCTCCTGCTGACAATTAATTTGCTTTTTTATCTTCATTATCTCCTACCCTTCCCTCTTCTATTCTAGTTACGTGTTTTTTTAAAACCTCTTTCTATCATTTGATCATAACATGCCTGGCAATGTTTTTTTCCCAATTTCACTTTGTTTCCCCACCTACTTCACTCCTCATCCAGAGTATTTTTAACATTTTCTCACTCAGAAGCTTTTTCTGCAAGATGTTAAGATGGCAAACACCACAAGTTTAGTCAGTAAGTGGAACTCATTGAAATGACTTTTCAAAGCTGTGAAACACTTACTTGGGAATTACTTTATTAAAAATAAAAATACATTGAAGCAAAGAAATTTTAGAAATAAAGATATTTTCAGCCTTCAGAAACAGTCACCCACTTATCTGGGCATACATTTTTCAACAAGGCATTTGAGATGCTTCCTCTGCTAAAAAAAGGAGAGGGGGAGGATACATTTACAAAAACAAACCAACTTTGCTACCACTCTTTTCAGTCGGCCAAAGATGGCAACACACTTTGAAAACTACAGATTTTGCTGCTTTTATGCTATTGTTGAGCTACTGTTACGGTATCCTGTGAAAATTTCAATGCACCTGGAAGGTATGAAAGACAGGTATTTATTGTCTTTTTTTACTCCAACAGCATCCTGTATTCTAGCACACTTTGAAGTGGTTGGAACTTCCAGTCAGCAGTTTTAGCATGTGGCACATTGCAGCATTTGATCACAGGTACCACCAAAACCCACATTCTCAAAGTAGTATTTGTAGAAGGCTAATTCTCAAAGGTGACATTTTAAACTAAACTCAGCAGGCAAAACAAGCACAAATATGTACAGTTTCACATACCAGGGGATTATGTGAATTGCATCTTCTTTGGAATCTGTAAAAAAATACTAAAGTGCTTTTCAAATGTGTCTTCATTGATTAAAAGGACAGGTATTTTGTAAAAGTGATCAGTTGCACACCAACATCATTATGTTGTTTAAAGAGGCATTTCAACAGAAAGATAAATATTATCAGCACTTAATTTTAGCTTCTCAATTAAGCATAATTTTAAGATTTCCAGACAAAAATCCCAACCCTATAGAATCTATTTATTCATTGGAAAATACAAAATTAAATTAAATAAAGTGCTTAATTCTCAAGTACTCTCAGGTTTTAGAGTACATTCATTAGCATTGGTACCAAAATCAACTTTTTATTGTACTAAGTTTTCAAAAACTTCATACCAAAAAACCAAACCCACAAGCCTATATAGTCCAAAGTCAACCTAATTAAATTGAAAGGCATTGAAAGTTCTCACAGAAACAGTGGGATACCTCACCAACCAAATACATAATTCAAAAATTAAGGCACTCTGTTATTCAAAACAGGTAACAGAAAACCTTAATTTAAATGCAAAATAACTATCTTACAGTCTTTGTTAGGCACTACCTGGCTTTTAAAACTTCAAGGTTAAAAGTGACAAAACCAGACATTAATTTAAAGCTGAAAAGTTGTCTCTTCTACAATTTAAGTTTTGTTTCTGCTGTGGAATACCCAATTCCAAATTACATTCAAATTCACATTCTAGTCTTGGAAACTTGACATTAGGAGGACTCCAAGTATTTTCTACATCTCCAGTGATGGGAAAAAAATCTTTAGAAGAGTACATAAGAACTTAATTAATGTGATATGAAATTCTGATAGATCAAAAGGAGTGTAGAGAAATTAAAGAAGGATTAAGAACAACTATTTAAAGGTTAGTTGTTACATAGCCCCCCAAAAGATCACTTTCCACGTCTGAAATACAAGGCAAGACTGAGTGTCCTGTTCTGAAACAATTAACATGAGGTTTCCTCAGCAGCTGGTTTGACAGTGGTTAGGAGCATTAAGATTCTGCATGTGAAAAAAGTACTGATACACTAATGCTGCATGAACTACAGATTCTTTTACTCTATATGGAAGATAATAAAGAGAGACCCATCCTCCTGTTCCTGGTAAATGCATAAGCAGCACCTGTAGTGATGCCATATTTGAAGTCTCCAGTTCCCAAAGCCAGAGGGAAGTACTATCCACGCTGCCTGTGGATGAACAACCTGAGCACCAGCCCTGACTTCAGGACTTCAGTACACTGCAGACTGTAGTGCTTTCCCCAGTGAGCTGCTGCTGGTCCCCTCCAGCTTGCAGCCAGTGCTGCCATGAGGTAAACAATGAATGCCACAGGCAGCACAGATGGCTTGAATATGTTTGGCACCAGAGAGAATGGAGTTCTGCTCTTTCTTCTTAGAGAAGTCCGCTCTTGTTTGCATTCTGACAGAAAACATCTGCATCCTGATGCTGCACACTCATTCCATGTTGAGAATATGGCATATTCAAGGATTCCTTTGGCCTCAAATCCTGGCTTTTCCAACTTGGTAGCTGCTTTTTTATAGTGAGCCCTGAATCTCAAGGATATTTGGATCCAATCTACTACATCTATAAGTTAGCTGAAAAAAACAATCCTCCAAAGTTAAAAGTAATGTAATTTTGTAATTTCCAAAAAGTATAAGTAATTATTTAAGCTCAGTTACAATCTTTCTTTTCACAGAAAATGCTAACAATTCATTAATATTTTTAATATTACATGATGTGCTTCACTCCTTTGGTAAATGAAATGTTTATGTGTGGCTTTCACAATTTTTCACAATTACTATTTGCCAGAACAGTAACAAATGTTTTGGACCATTCTCCCATAATCAACATTTGATAAACTGACCATAATAGGCAGAGGTTAAGCCCACCAAGTTTTAATATCAAATTAAAAACTATGCTGTCAGTTCATTTGTGGAATGCAACAGCTGACAAAAAAAAATCTTTCCAGAAGGCTAAATGGATCATTCTCACTGACTAGGAAGGCCTAAGCAGTTGGGGTTATTTTCTGGAAAGAAAGTAACAAAATAAGCTGGAAATAATAATAATAATAAAAAAAAAAAAAGAAAGAAAAAAAAAGAAAAAAAAAAAGCTGTATTTTAAAAGTGCAGTATTTCTTTGCTTAATCTTTTTTGACACTGCATCATTTCTTCAAAGCTATTATGTTGAATGGACATGGAGCTAAAGTTAGACCAAACCTTCCCTCCATAGATGGTTTTGCAGCATTTTCAGGGTACATAAAGGTAAAACTTTGCATAAGACTTGAAAAAATCAAGAACAGCTCCATTTTTGCCAACTGCTCTCCCATGCACACACGTTTACCTAAAGAACAATTAGAAGAGAGGTATTACTGGCTTTATACAGTTGACCTCTTTGTTAACACACATGTAATTCCCCTGTGCTACCATAGTCCAACAAAGGCTCAAACTACTATTAAGCTATGACCTCTGAAGCTCTGGCCTCCTGTATTTGAGTCTACGCCTTGCTCAGCTGTACTAGTTCATATTAACAACATTTACATCCAAAGCAAAAGTATACCAAAGGACAATTCATAATTTCTGTCTAGTGACTGGCTTCTTAGGAGCCCAAACCATTTTGCAAGCCACCAACTGTGATAATAAATCTATTTCCATAATTGGTCCTATGTGCAACTTTTACATCTCTCACTCCCAAGGCCCTACACTTGAAACACCACCACCCACCCACCCAGCTAATGACTCCATGTGGATTATCTTACCCATTCCAAAAGGAATGAATGACTCTTTCTTTATTAGCTGGCCATTTTCATCCAGAAATCTTGATGGTTGAAATTCATCTGGCTTCTCCCAAATGTTTGGATCTCTGTGTACCGACCACAGGTTGGGCACAATCACACTACCCTTAGGAATAGTATATCCCTGGAGCACTTTAAACAAAAGGAGAGACAGAGATGTGACAAGTTGCTAGAAGGAAACATGAGAAAAATAGCAGTAAAAAGACAACAAGAGGATGTCACAAAAAATTACATAAATTCCTAGCTGTGGGCTGCAAATGTAGCAAAAGCTGAAGGCAAAGGTGATCTCTGCTACCCTGCTTCAGTCAGAATCGCACAAGCCTGAGCAGCTGGAAAGACACCAAATTACACCAACAGCTTCTGCAGAGAGAAGGAAGCAGCAGTTGTCAGAAATGCACTCTGCAGCACCCCAATACTGTGACCCACTTTCCTCCTGCTCCTGTGCTGTCACAGAGCCCCACCAAAGTCAAAGGATGGACTTTGAACTGTTGTGACACAAGGGTTTTGAAATGACTAGTCTCATTTCAGCTTGCTGCACCTCACTCCCCTGCAAATCAAAACATTTAGAAAAGCTGATCAGTTCAGTAACAATTCAGTAGTAGGTTTAAAAGCTGAGTATTGCTCTCTCACACTGACTTTGGCCAGTGCTCAGCTATGTTTATGAAAATACATAGCTGAGTTGGGAGGTGCTATTTCTTAATGTTTTCTGTACGTGTGGAGGTCAGTGGTGTAAGCCTTTATCAAACCAATCACTCTATACTGATGTTTTCAGACCTCTGTGTCAGAATGCCAAGAACAGCTCTGCTGCTTCAGGTACAAAGCTGCAGTCTCAGCTGCCAGCTATGGACTCAGCACATTAGTCAATACATGCTGACTCCCAGAGAAGAAATCACTGGAGATTAGAAAAACTGCTGGATGTCAGGTCAGACATGCTGCTTACATAGAGAACTATGTCAAGGCCTCCTGCTTCCTAGAAAGGACATTTACATATTTGTTTTACAGGTCTAATACGTAAATGAGGTCTTTGCAAATTATCACTAGATACCCCATCACATCTTCAGCCCCAGAGGAAATGCTGTAGTAACAAGTCTCTAGAAATGCTTACCAGCAGTTTCTGAGGCCATTCGAGGAATGGAAAGGGGAACGACTGCAGTCATCCTCTGCACTTCCATAATGGTTGCCTCTGTGAAGGGCATTTGAGCCTTGTGAGCAAGAGAGGGAACTTTGTCACGTCCCAGAACTGCTTCGATTTCTGCATGGACTTTCTCTATTCAAAAGGAGCAAGAAAAAGAAAGAAGTCAAAAGACATAATATGTGAGAAGACAATCTCAATTTCATCTGACTGTGCTTGCTTCACTGTTTACTTAGATGTCTAAAAAATTACTTCAAGATGTTATTCCTAGCTGAAACAGCTATGCCAACATTAGCCTTAGGAACAGACTCAGCTATGAAGAGAACAACCAAGCACAATCTTTACAAGAGTCAGGAGTAAAGCTACTGAGCTGACAGACATTGCTAGCACTGAGGTATTGGAAACGTACAGAAAAAGTCCTGCTGCTACTCCAAATGTATTCATAATCTTATTTAGGAGTTTAATTATACAGTCATTTGAACGATGGGAAGATCAAGCTTCTGCTCTGCAATTAAAAACTTGAACAGTGAGAGAACTGTGTGCAGTGTGTGTCTGAGCATGAAGAGATGGGAAAGTTTTTCATGCAGTTGCTTTAGATACTTCATTGTGGAGCAGGAATTCTGGTGCTGTTACTGCAAGCACTGAAGTAATTTAACTTGTTAAGGCCATTTCCTACTTTCTATTCACAGAACCTAAAATCAGGTATTTCCCATTTCCCCCAAAGGCAGCAGCAGTGCTCCTTTCCCTTTGCAGCCCTTCTGCAAAGTCCAAAAAATTCATGAGTTTATCAACTTTCTCATTCATGGGGAGAAAAAAAGATCAAATTATTTCCTTGCCCTTTCATTTCTTTGTATGTTGAAGCCTCAGCATACAAATAATTCTCTTCATAGAAGTTTCCAAATTCAGGACTTGCTTCACCAACATACATACAGGATGATGTACCTTTTCTTGCAGGTAACTTGCAATCTGGCTACACCACAAAAGATCATCTTGGAGAAGGAGACCTCAAAACTAACCTTTATTCAATAATAATAAAAGTCAATTTTTATTTTTACCCGTTATATCCTGCATACTTTGTGGTTGTTCCGCTTGCCTTTTCCAACCAGGCTGCTGATATTCTGAGTTTTTGCTCTTTTCTCTCCTTGACAGCGATACAAGATTAAATAAAACCTCAACGCAAAAAAACTCTCCGTTTCCCGAGCAGCATCCCCACTTGCTGCCTGAACTGCGTCTGAGGAGCCGCTGCTGCCACCTACTGGGTTTGCCCCAGAAGAAAAGCTCATGCATGAGCAACATTGAAAAACACAAAAAATACAGCAAGAGACGTGCTGACGGTGTGGCTCTTTGTGGGGAAGAAAGTTCTTTCTTTCCCTTCTATTAGGGACCTATTGTAGCCCTATATTCAGGCATGTATGTTCACAGTAATCTAAACAAATAAATAAAGTTTTCAATATTAAAAAAAAATATAATGAGACTGTCTCATACCGAATGTCACACCAGTGCTTTATCCTGAACAATTAATTTGTACATTGTTTCTAAAAATACGAGGAACTATACAGAGAGCAGCCAACATGCTGCTCACATTTCCAGCTGCAAAATGTAAACTCCAGCAGCCTCTGCAACAGCATGTTATTTGAACTGCTCCACAACTTTTCATATTTTTAAAAAACCTCAATGATCTTCAGAAGTCAAGGGCCAAAACAAAGTCAGGGAACAGAACAAACCAAATACTCCCCATGGCTTCACCTTATTGTCCATCCACATCATTCTCTATTTCCGTGTAAAAAGCAAAACTTTTTTCCACAGAGAAAAATACTTTTTTTCCTCTGATAGCCCTTAGTTTCCTTTCCATGCCTGCAAGCAACTTTTGCTACTTCTAAAGGAAACATAATTCCAGTATTTTCTCTAGGAAGGAAATACATTTAAGAGAAATGTATTTCCAGGAACAAAAAAAGGGGCCCACACACAGCTCCAAGGCAATCAGGATAAAAGGAATGGGATATTAAAAGTGATGCAGTCTGAACTACTGAGCATATTTAGATTACTTGACAAGAGCCACAGCATAAGGGGAAAGCAGAGAGGTAATAAAATTGTTAGAGATCAGCAGAAAAGTGAAAATTGACTAGCACATACACATACAGCACCAGGCAGAAGGAAAAAAAGTTTAAAAAAACAAACACAAAACTCTTCTGGATTCAATTTGTGTAATTTAGAATGCATATAATCCATGTAAGTGCATATCAAGTCAAGCAGTGATAACAGACAGCATTAAAACAGAAGAATAAGCCTGTGCAATAAAAGTTTACTTCACATTTGTCCCCAGTGAACTCTCTCCCTGTTTTGCAGTTTGTTTGACTTTGTGCAATAAACTGTGATCTTGACCTATTTGAAGAGATTTTTCCAAACAGATCCAACTCAGGGTAGATGAGACTACTACTGGTCATGACCCACTTAGTTTTGAAAAATTCCAAAACCAGAGATTCTGTTAACTCTCAGGGCAATCTGTGTCACTCCTTTGCCATGCTGACAGGGCAATTTCTTTTCCTAGTATCTGATCAGAATTTTCTTGCAGTAGGTGGTTTCCACTGCTTCCCTTCCCTTCCCTCCACAGCACACCTCAGAGGAGACTGCCTCCATCTTCTTAACATCTTTTGATCAGACAGTAGTAGATAGCATAAGGTTTCCCCTCAGTCATCCTTCTCTAACACTGAACAAGACCAATTTGTTCTGCCTCTGTCTGTGTCCCCCCATCCCTCATCATCAGCAACCCATCCAACTGCCCTGAGCACTGATGGGGAGAGGCCCTCTAACAACACTGGCAGCTGGTGCTGTGCATTTGTGCAAATCCAGTTTGCTTAAGCTGTCTCTGATTTGATCCTCCCCTACAGCAGGTGGTGTTTTACTTCCCCAGACTCTGCTGCCAGGTCCAAGAACCTCCCTGCTCAGGGAGCCATAAAAGCAGACCTTATTAGCACTATGGACTTCACACATCTTCTATCACTACTACAAGCCTGGAATGTCAAAACTGCCAAACTTTTTCAAACATGCTAAAGTTCTCTGGAATTGCTTGGGAAACATAAAGTTGTCCCAAACTAGAAGAAATTCCCAGGTTAAAGGGCTATTTAGCACTTAATATATAGCACTAACCCAGAAATCATCATAGAATAGCAGGATAGAAGATGCCTGATTACACACCAGCCTTTCAATTCACACATACAACACAAACTGCGGGCTCTCCAAATGATTCCTTCGCTGTTGCTGCCTGCTTCTGTTTCGGAGCATCCATCTGGAGCTTTACAGTCTGGGATAAATCACCTACAATAAAAGTAATCTCACCTTGTACTTCAGGGTAAAGAGACATGTAGAGCAGACACCACAGCAATGTGTTGGAAGTTGTATCAGTGCCGGCGATGAAGAGATCCCCAATGATAAAAAACAGGTAATCGTCATTAAAACTGCTCTCCTTGTTGTTCTTCTCTTCCTCGGCATGGATGAAGTACATATCAATGAAGTCCCTGGGATTTGCTGCATCCAGTGTGTCCCTGTGCTGGGCAATTATTCTCTTCAGAAAAGCAGTGATGTCCAGCTCGGTTTGCCGGAGCTCGCGGAAGGGCCCAAAGGGAAGGTAGTAGAGCCAGGGGCAGATGTTGACCAGGATCATGTAGCTGTTGACACTCAGCTCCAGGGCACGGGCCATGTTCTTCAGCATCGTCTTGAACTCAGCATCCTCGTAGTTAAAGCGCTTGCCAAAGGCCATGGAGCAGATAACATTGGACACCGCGTTGCGAATGATCGGGAAGGGATTAAAGGAATCCTTGCCGTGCTTCAGCATCTCCTCCTTCACAAAGTTCAGCTCCTCGATGATTTTAGGCTCTAAGCTGTGTCTCCCTACTCCAAAATGACGCAGTGTTGATAGAGAGAATTTCCTCTGTTGCTTCCACACAGGACCATAAGGTGCAAAAATAACACCTGAAAGAAAAAGGGAGAGACTGAAACCAAAATGCCCAACTTTCAATTAGAAATAGTTAGCCATGCCTGCAACCCAAGAGCCAGAAAAGAGGCAAATGATACACAGCAAATCTCTCCCAAGCACCCGTCTAGGAGCTAAAGGAAAAACACAAGGTTCTTTATCATAGCTTTTGGAAATCCTGTCCCTCCTTTTCCTCATCACTGAAACAAATATCCAAGTTACATCACTAGTTTCATTAGACTTTGCAAGAAACAAATAGATGGAGAAGAGGGAACAGTTAATTTGGGATATATGTTAGATACAGCCTTTTCTCCCCAATATCCTGAGACATGAACTTCTTCAGCAAGGCATAACAGAAGACATTAAAACACAAACTGATTTGCATTTTCCCCCTTCGTGTTACAGAAACTTTTTGCAAGCGTGTCTATTACAAGCAAGCTTTATCTTTAAGTTATAATAAAAATACAGGATACTCACACTGCAAAAAAACTGGGAAGGTGAAAGCAGGTTCAGGGACACTTGGCAAAATCCTGCTTGATATGCATCTCAACAGTTTTGATGCCTGCAGGCACTTGTTCTAGATGATTGAGTCATTAAGAAACACCATCTAAATTAAATCCCAATTACTCACTTTCAAACAGAAACATCTCTTGTGTTGAATTAAAAGACCACACCAAAGACACCACAGGGTAACAAATACACAACCTGCAATTTCTAATGTACTCCATGGTTAACCTGAGAAAGTTTAGTCATCAAACATGATCTAGTTCTGGATTTGTTCTAGGAAAACAACACCACCTTTTTGAAATGATTTTTTTCTGGAAACAAAAAGTTACTTTGTAAAAGCAACATCAGTTTTTCATCTGTCAACTGCAAACCGTAACCTTGAATTTAAACAGAGAAATGGCCATAATAAAATAGAAGTAGTACATAAGTACTAAAAGATGCATCATGTTTCAATACTTAACATTACTTACATTTCTACTACTAGTTAATGTTCCAAGTTCTTAATGCTCAAAGAATACAAACACATGACCTAGCTTCAAACCTCCTAAATAAGAACATTAGGAAGAGTCAGGACAAGCTCAGAATCAGCTGAATTTCATTTTCTCTGCATGAAGACATTCCTCAGGCAATCTATTCAAATGCCCACTTCCTGGCTCTTCAAAAAAACAGAACCAAAATCTTTCCAGATTTTCTCTCTCAACTGTTTCCTGTTAGCACTGGTGTCCTCAAGTAGGTTAAGTGAAAAAAACAGGAGTATTTGGGGCTGGATTTGGCCAAGAACCAACCTGGGTTGAATTTGGCCAAGAACCAAGAACCCTGGGTCTCCAGGCTTTGTGGCTGGGTTGCAAAAGAAACATGGATTTCTTGGAACAAAACAAAGTTATCACTGTTTCTATCCCACAACAAATATCTCTAAAACAGGCTATGCACCCACAGTCTCTTCCCTTTTTTTGGGGGGGGTTTAGGAAAATTAGTTTTAGGATCCAAATACTTTCAATAAAACAAAACAGATCTATTGTCTTGAATGTAACAGAGACTTGCCTAGGCCCACAGAAAAGCTGACACCAACAACAAATGTCCCCACACGCAGCGAGCCTGCAGTGAGCATCGGTGCTTTCTGACGTCCCCAAACCCCAAACTGCTGCAGAATACTAACAACTGATTTGTAAATTGGGAAATAATTGCATAGAAGACAGATTAGGGAAAAAGAAGAGCATAAAGACAGAACAACAGAGGAAAGAGAAGAAAGCAAACTCTCAACTGCATCCCTAGCAAGATACAATAATGGAATAGTCCTTTGCTGATTTCAAAGAAAATCTGCCCGCCCTAAAAAGCCAAGTTACTCAGCACAGACATCTCTACTCTTTAAAAAATCACAAAAAACAAAAAACAACCTCCCCTGTAAAGAAATTAAAGCAAAACAAAACAAACAACAACAAAAAAACCCTGAAGGCCATACAATAATAAACTCTGAAGCAACAATAACCGGGACTTCATGCTCACTACAGAGGCTGAATTTCTATGAGCTGATAATGAAACCCTTTCAGTACAACCAACAAACTCAGAAAACCAGAGAGATCATTTTATCCCCCTTTTTACACAAATAAAATTAAAATCCTCACAAGAAGCAAAGGCTTACTTACTCTCCTCCATCCCTCACATTTTTTACTGCTAGCTCTAGTGCAATCCTGGGAACATTGACAAACACTGCACTCACGACATTTAAAAACATTCAACTTCTGTGTTGCCAGATGTCCACATGTGGATATGCACAGGGCAGGGCTATAAAGGCAGACAACCACTCTGACTCCATGTACTCTGCAGATTCAGTCTTTGCTACCTCTCCAAGCTAGAGAATACAAAAAACTAAAATACTAAAATCAGACCACAGATCTAGTTTCTCCCCAGTCTACTACTTCTCTTTCTGCAGATGTGATGATGAATTAAGAATTAAGAATTGACTACTACCTTCTCCCTTAAGTTCTTATGGCATTTTCTATCCTGCCAAGAAGTATTTGCCATTTCTGATACCTGCTCTCCCCCAGGCACAATTATTTTCTTTTCATCTTACATGCAATAGAACCACACAGCTTCCATTCCATACCTGGCAGGGCAGCTCAAGGTAAAGACAAAACTATACCAGCAAATGTAGCTCACAAGAAAAGATCTCTGTAAGTTCTCACCACAATAGCTCACTTACAGAATGAAGGAACCCAAAGAACCCAAGGACATGCAGGAACCCAAAAATGGACACTACACCTCCCAGAGCTGTAGTACCCAAATTCTGAGAGGTAGAGCTGAAGGATGAACATCCTGCCCTTATTGTTTCCTTTCCTAGGACATACCAACACAACTGCTGCTGTCCTGACCTGCAGAAACATCTCACCCACAAACCCCTGAAATTATCACCCAAACCAATCTTAAGAGGCCTCCAGTTTGAGTGCTGTAACCCGTCTGCCTCCCCCACAAACCACAGACGGAAAAAACAACACTTTGTGTTAGCACAAACACAGCCTGGCAGAGGCTCAGTCATCTCCTCACGCCACCACCAAACCAAGGCAGCAGAAGGGACAGCACCTGCAGCTTCCACTGGCATTTGGAGAACCAGCTTGTGGGGAGCAGCGGCCCCACTGCCCACATTCACCCTTTGGGCACTCAAAACACACCAGCCCCGTGGTTCACTCTACAATATTCCTGCATCTGGGGCAATCCAGCATGCTAACATGAGTGCCTTGGAACAGCTGGGGATGTTTTATGGGCCCCTGGGCAGCCCTGATGCTGCAGTCCTCATGCCTATGGTGACCTTACAGATAAAACCAAACCCAGAGCAACACAATGTCCCTGCCACAGTGCAACACAGACAGACACTGGCCCAGGGCTTGCATGCAGCATGCTCTGGCTGTGCACAACAGGTTCCTGCTACGTCCAGCTCTCCTGCAGCACCCACTGGTGGAAGCCGCCAGCTGCCCTGGCTACTCTTCATATTCAAAAAATCTGATAAAGAACAAGATACATATGAAATTCACAGCATTCAGGGGAAAAAAAATCTAGCCGGAACATGAGGATTTGCAGCACTGCTAAAATTATCTAACTCCTCTTCCCCTTTCCTCCTCCAGTTCTTCATGAAGTACTGCACCTAAAAATACTCACGCATGATAACAACTTGCCAGTAAGATCTGTCTTGGAACAATATCATTAAACCAACACAATTCACCTTTTTTTTTATTCTTTAAACTGATTTCAGTAATGGCACCTGATGCCATTTTTATAAACATGATCTAGGTTCCTCACTTTCTTCTCTTTACTAGGTCAATTCTGGTATAGGGGAAAAAAAAAAAAAAAAAAAAAAAAGAAAAATGCTTCAGGCACTTAAAAACCAGATTTCCCTAGCCCTGGAAAAAATAAAAAAAGCTACGTCTCACAACAAGCTAGCACACTAACAAGCCTTCTGAGGTCCACCTCCTAAACTGAAAAAGGTAAGTATATTTCCATAAACACAGAGATCAGTCATGACCTAAGAAGTAAACATGAAGAAATTCTACCTGCAGTATTGTCAGCACTGTTTAAACTCCTCATGCTTTTTTTCTACAAAAACTAGTAACTCTCCTTTGGACTTAAAAAGAAAAAAAAAAAAGACAACCAAACCCAAACATGCTCAGTAAGTTTTGACAAGCAGAATAACACATTTGCAAATATCTCAGCAACAGTAGCTTGTACACAGGCAGCGCAGAGTGCGCGGCCATGGGACTCCTCAGAAGCCTGATCTCTGCCACTGCTACCTTGGTAAGAGCTGGGGAGGTGCTCAGTTTCATACCACTGCCCAAGTACTCGAAATTTCTTCCCCTCACACAGCCAAAATCAGAAAGATGACAGACCAGCTGTGCCTTAAAGCCCTGCACAAATGGCAGCCACAGAAACAATGAGGCTGGAACATACCTCGGAGATTGATTCCAACCCATGACCAAACATCACCTTGTGAATGGGACCATGGCACTGAGTGCCATATCCAGCCTTTCCACAAACACCTCCAGGGATGGTGATTCCACCATGCCCCTGTGCAGTCCATTCCACTGTCAAACCCCCCTTTTTGTGAACAAATTCCTCCCAATGCCCAACTTAAACTTCCCCCGGTGCAACTTGAGGCCATTTCCTCTTGTCCTATCCCTTATTACCCAGGAGACCAACCCCGCCCTGGCTACAAGCCCTTTGCAGGCAGTTGGAGAGAGAGATAAGGCCTCCCCTTGAGCCTCCCCTTCTCCAGTCTAAAGCAGCCCAGCAGCTCCTCAGTCCCCTAACTGCACACAGAGCTAAAGGCTCCTCAGTCCCGTTACTGCACACACAGCTAAAGGCTCCCCAGTCCCGTCACTGCACACAGAGCTAAAGGCTCCTCAGTCCCGTCACTGCACACAGAGCTAAAGGCTCCCCAGTCCCCTAACTGCACACAGAGCTAAAGGCTCCCCAGTCCCCTAACTGCACACAGAGCTAAAGGCTCC